CGGCCTGCCTGCCTCCCTGCTGGCTCTGAGGAGGAGGCGGCGGCAGCGTTCGCAGAGCGTCTCCTGCGCACGCGCAGGAGACGCTCTTGCACTTTCGGGGGGATTTAAACATCCCCCCGAAAAAATTTTTAACTTTTTTTATTTTTGTGCACACGTGGGGACTGGCCCACGTGTGCACAAACCTCCCCCGGCCCCCCAGCTGCCCCCGGAGCGCTGATTTAGCGATCCGCACTCCGGGGGCAAGTTCACTATTAGATATATAGATAGTTGCCCCCATTCAAGGCAATAGGGTAAAAATCATTTTTCTGGAGAGAGTGGTGAGATAATGGTGGAAACCAGGTGAGGAACAAGCAGGGCTTCATCGCATCCCAGATTCTCCTCCTGATTGGCAGTTGGGCTGTCCAGACCCCACCCCTGTTGTAGCCGGGAAGTGCAATACCAGTAGTGGTGCAGGCATTGACTGTCTGGCCAAAGGATCCCCTCTGTTCCAGAAGTCCCAGGGCATTGTAGCGCATCTCATATACCAACCCATCCTCTCATATATACACCAAAACCTAGGCATCTCTGCAAGGGTAGTTGGGGATGGGGTGTGTACTTAGGATTCATCCCCTTTCTTCCCCTCTCCACTTCCCTTCCCATGTAATGCCAGTGTAAACAGATAGTGGTAAGTTCTAGAATTAGATTGAAATCTAATAGCAATGAAACAACCTATGTTCACTGTTTTTCTCATTGCTTAGGGGGCTGCTGAATGGCCTAATTGCTTTCACATTGCTGGGGATAACAATCCACAGGCTGTGAAGAGAACAGCAAATAATATCTCCTCTTTGCTGAAGCAAATTCAAAGCAAAGAAAGGTAACAAGGAAAGTATAGAGCAGTATCTATTTCCACATTGTATTTGTTCAGATTTTCCCAGCAATGCCTGCCACACTCAAATCAGTTGCAGCTCAATCGCAAGATTTTTAAAATCATCCTTATGGAATATGTCCTCCCAGAGGAGATGAGGGAAGATGCTGTCCCTGGCTTTTTTGTAAATACATTACAAAGAATTATTGTTCCAAAGAGCCTTCAAAGGGTATTGATACTTTTGTTGGACGGTGGCTGGTTGGGAGGTATTGAATTTTTGGGGCTGTTTGGTATGTGTTTGTTGTTTTTTCTTTGTTATATACTGTGGGGTTTTTTCCTTTTGATACATGCTCTTGTAACCTTTGAGCCTTTGTATATGGCATGAAAGAATATAAATAAAATGCACTTCTAGACCATGTTCATTTAAGTAACTTCTACTTGTTTTACAAATGCTCATTTCTAAATTGATTTTTTAAAATATGACACGCATTTTTGTTTAAGAAGCTTTTTTTCTAAAATTGTAATTTTTTATCTGATTTTTGTTTTTAATTAATGATAGCTCATCTGTTAGCAAACCCATAGATAATATACAGTGGGATATCTGCAGTCTACCATTAAGAACTGGTTCTGTGGATGTCATTGTGACAGATATGCCATTTGGAAAGAGGTAAGGACTAATTAAACTTATGTTTATTTTATATTTATTTATTAGATTTATATCCCGCCTTTCCACATGTGTCATCTACATTTGCTCTCTTAAGGTTGCTATCAAGGTTTTAAGACCTGTTAAATTTCTGTGGGTCTTCAGATGTGCCCAATAATTGTCAACATACATGTGGCTCGTAGATATTTCTAGGTCTTGCGTGTTTTGTGTGATCATCTAAGCCAGTTGCTGTATCATCTAATTATGCCGAGCATGCAAGTTTGCATAGTTAATGTCCCTCCCCCCGATTCAGACAGCTCTGTTCACACAGGGTGGGTTTTTTTAAAAAGAGGGATGGTTTTCACAACAGGGGTGGGGGGTGGAATGAATACATATGTAAGGCTGGAGGCTTTGAGGCCCATAGGTTGATTGGAGGTACGCTGCCTCAGATTACGGAGAACACTGCTCCCTTTTCTGGACTTTTTTGAAATTGCTTGACACGTTTCAGAGTGTGCTTTGCATCCACAAATACCAGGAATTTTTTAAAAGAGTAAACATGAATTCATCAGGTTCTCCACATTACGCAAGTAATTAATAAGCAAGATTATATCAAAGTTTCTTTGTGTCAATTTGTGCTGTGGGTGATTAGGTACATGAACATGCAATATATTCAGCTCAGAAGGCTACTACGGACTGTATATCACTGTGGAAAGAAATTGGCTTGCAATAGCGAAAAATACTGAACACAAACTCAATTCACTTGCTGCTGTTTCTCAATTTCGCTATAGAATCGGGTCTAAGAAAAAGAATTGGGATCTCTATCCAGCCTGCCTTATGGAGATGGGTCGGATCTGCAGGCCACGGACTGGCCGAGCTGTGCTGCTGACGCAAGATAGGAAATGTTTTGCCAAGGTAGGTAGCAGCAGGCTGCCCTCAGGTGCTCATTGTCATGATTTTGCACTGTGCAGCTGACTCTCAATGGCTAAAAACATCATATGGCCTAAAGGGTTTATCCTGTTATTCAGAACAAATGTTTGGTAAGAAATACACTCAGCCTAAAGGAGGATTTATGGGAGGGTGGCAAAGGGGTCTGTGGATCACTAAGCTGTAGTGCCCTTGGCATTCTCGTTTTTATTGTCCAGCTGCAGTCTTAATATGCTGCATCCTGTGATTTATTTCAAAGCTGAAGATAGAAGGAATTTTCTAAAGAAAAACGGAGCACACTGGAAATTGCTTTTCTCTGTGACCTTTTTGATCATGATAGGAAAACAATGGAAGTTTCAGTTAAGTGTTTGAAATAAGTTTGGGAATTCAGTCAAATTTATTACTGCAGTTTAAAATAGACAACTGCTGTAACCTTGATGTCTGCCAGACTGTGTTAAGCCAAACTTGGAATTGTTTTCTATTCTAGGCCTTGTCCAAAATGGGACACATATGGCGAAAGTCTCACACGATTTGGGTGAATGTTGGGGGACTCCATGCTGCTGTGTATCTCCTGAAACGCCTTGAAGAAAAAAATGAAGAGACCAAATCAAAGTGGTAACTTCCTACACCCTTCTGGGTCTCTGAAGGCTCTTTGCAACATGTCTGCCTGAAGTCATTCCATCTTAAACCCTTGAATGGGCAGAAGATACAAGTCAGCAAGCAAGCACAGTGATGCAAGGATCCATTGGGATGGGATGGAGGGGAAAGGTTGTACTCAGAAGTTCTTAAGGGAGCTTTATGCGTTAAGTAGAAAAATGAAACTAGTAATCCCTTTCTTTGCCTGTAAGTCATACTCATGTTTCAGCATGAGTGCAAATGTAAGCTTGTTTTCATTGTGACAGGGAAGTTAACTATTCTGAGAAAAAGCAAGGGTGGCTGTATTCCCTCCTACCCCCCAGATTGCAGAAGACCTAATTTTTCTGCAGGTATTGTTTCAAATTCCTGAAGACTGTTTCCTTAAGTAATAGCCAGCTGGGGATATCTTTTAGGTACACAGGGGTTGCTTGAATGAAAACATTTTGCCAATTGAGAAAACTCTGGTTTTTTTTACATTGCAGTAATGGGCAACAGGGCAACATTGCGCTGTTCATGGTGGAATCTCTGGTAGAGGCTAGAAGCTCAGTAGTGCCACCTATGTTCCTACCTGCTACCTCAAATAAGTCCCTGTTTATTTTATGTTTACTTTTTTTGTGCCATGTATATTGCTACTGTTCATAGGGCTGAGTATATGTTCTGTCAGCCTTAGTGTCTGTAGTCACTGTTCTGATTAACAATAAGACTTGAAAAAAATACTGTAGCTATTTTCACATTTGCTGGTTTTGCTTTTGGACACAGGATAGAATTAGACTGGAATGTTTATAGTCTGTTGAATTTAAGTTTAAAAAGACAAGCAGATAGCTGTGCCATCTGCTTACATAAAACAGACTGACCAGTTAGACAGCAGGAACCTGCGTGGCTCTTGGGCACAAAACTTATGAACAAGATCTATGCAAGGTCACAGCAGTTACCAAGTAGAATCGTGTCCATAGTTTAATACATGTATTGTAACTGATTTGTCAAATTTGGGAGCCTTTTCCCACCAGCCTGAAAAGAACAGCTAAAACACTAATGGAAGGGTTTTAAAGAATATGGTGGATGCACTGCCCTTCAGTTTCAAAAATTTGTTAGGATCTTTCAGTCCATATATAATGGGGAAAAGTTTACTAGGTTTGGGATTTGTTGAAGCTTTCCTTTAAGGCATTCAGGAGTTGTGTGATCACTTGTGGGCTACCATGTGGACCTGAAAGGCTACTGAATGAGGTTTTTCTTAAAGAGAGCAAGCACACCAGCACTCTTCGAGTTGATAGAAAGATGGTATTGCCCCTCAACAACTTTGTAAAGCACTTTTGCCATCCCAAGTTGACAGCTTTTGCCTATGGGCATTGCTTTGGTATTTCTTAGTACACTTTTGTTGTTGCTGTTGTATTGAACTTTTAAGTTTACAATTTTACTTGTACGTAATAAAGTCTCTACAAAGGATTATCTTGCATTTGTACTGGCACTCTTTAAGATTACATAAAACAGGTAATTTCTTCTAACAGAAGTGTGTTTACATATGTATTTCCTTAGTACAGTTTTATTAGCTTTTAAATTCACCTTTATCCAAGCAAGGACTCAAGGGTGATGATGATGGTAATGAAAATAACGTAATTCACTTCTGAAAATCATAATAAGATTACCTTCTCCCAAAACATCAAAATATCCAACCAAATCCAGCAAACCACAACATCAATACAACACAATTCACCCCAGGATAGCCCAAGGCTTTAAAAAAAAAAAAAAAGTCAACTATTCATCCTTGTTGCTACCTCATTTTCTTTAACATTGCGTGCTCATACCTCATGTAAGCAATACTCTAATGGCCATATATTGTATCTTAAATATGGTACAGTTACTGAAATCCTCACTGAAGGACTCTGCCGTCTTTTCATGAAAAAGCAAATGTGTTTGAAAACTTGCAATGCTGGTCATAAGGGGAGAGTTGATATGTTCGTGAGGTTTTTGTAAGACAAACTGAGAAAAGGGAGCAGGAAAATATGAATTATAGAAACAAATATGGAGGAGACCTTTTTTTCCTGATACTGTAAAAAACCCTGAAATGTATAGAACTACATAACTTTGGGGACATTCTTCTGGGGCTACTGAAACACTAAACTTCACATACACTGCTTTCTTACAAATAGTATTCTTACTTGGTTCTCATGGAACATGGGTGGTCATACACGTGGATCCTAGAGTGTCAGTTGGTTCACAATATACATTACAGTAGATATTTTATTGGGTTTATTTTATAGTCTTCTCCGTAAATTGCTGAGTTAGCTATGGAGGGGGGGATAGTCTCTAGGCTTAAAGGAGAAAAATGCTCAGTATGAAAATAAACCACCTCTTGTCCTCACTACTCTTAGCCAACATTCCTTGAAATCAAGGCCGACTTTCATGGGAGTGGCTTATTTTGCTCTTAAAAAGGGGGGGGAAGAGCCAGTGTACAGTACATGAACCAAAAAAGAACACCACTGACTGAAAAAGAGCAAATAACAAGTATAATAATCATATAAGCACACAGCAAGTATAATATAATTCAATTGGCCAAAGCAGTAATGAAACATAAGCAGCACCATCTACAGTCTTTCCATGTGTCTTACTCCAGCGTAGAAGCAAATATCAAAGTCCAAAATGAAGTGCATGTAATCAATTTTCTGAATCATGTAATCAATTTTCTGCAATCCTCCTTGACTGACCATTTTGGCTTTGTATATGCCAGACTTTGAGACTGGGTCCCATTACAGCCATGCTTGAATAAGAATTATTCGAAACGCGGTATCAGGCATCCGGATTACGTGTTGGCTTTTGGCTTTTCATGGCTCAGGAAACTGGGCTTTTCATGATTCAGAAAATTGATTACATGCACTTCATTTTGGACTTTGATATTTGCTTCTACACTGGAGTAAGACACATGGAAAGACTAGATGGTGCTTCTTCTTATATGTTTCATTACTGCTTTGGCCAATTGAATTATATTATACTTGCTGTGTGCTTATATGATTATTATACTTGTTATTTGCTCTTTTTCAGTCGGTGGTGTTCTTTTTTGCTTCTTATTTTGCTCTTAAACAATGAAATCACCCAAGATTTCACACTAAATTTACCCATTTATATGAATAAAACTTACATAGACCAGAACATCCATAACACTTCTTACTTTTCCTCTCTTGCGTATACATACTTAGACAGATGATCAATACCTGTCACACTATAAGCAAAGGAGAGCAACTCCCACTTCTCACTGCAGCCATGTTTGCTTCCTAAAATCATGCTTATTCAGGTCTGCCAATTCAAAGGAACCTGGGGCTGGTTTTAAAGTGGGTGTATGCAGCGGGGGGGGGGGGATCAGACAAAATGGTCTTCTCTCTTCAATTGGAAAGGCCATTCTAACAGGAGCTTCTACACCAACTTTATGGCACCATCGGCCACAAACAGTAAGTGATAACACAGCAAAAAATCAAAAAATAAGCAAAGCTGCACAATAGAAGACGCTGAGAGTAGCCAAAGCTAATAAATACAATATTGTAATATATAGACAGATGAGAATAGAATCAAGAATAACAAAGCCATCAAATACAACAAGCACATTAATAAATCATGATGCTATAAAGCATAAGTAGGTCAAGCAGGTAAGTAGTCCGATGAGTTGATACGAAGGTTCTGGATATAAATAACTTCATTTCAACATTCTTCAGTTAAGACTATTACAAGTTATCTCAGGTATAATTTTCAATACAACCAGGATATACACATCTCAGAAGAATATCCCTCAGAAGGATATGCAGTTTGTATAAATGGCCAACCAGTCACTAACCAAAGAAACCTTAGAAAGAAATTCTAACACCATTTCTTGCTGCTGGTCAGGCCCTGTGTGCCTCAGAGTTGTGTTCCCATGACAAAAATGGCAAAACAGCAGCTGATGGAAAATTCTTGCGGTTGACCAGGAAACTAATGTGTAGTTTGGCTCTCAAAAAAAGTAAAAGTAAACTGATACAAAGTCAGCAATGTTAGATGTTGGTAAGAGATTCCTGAGATGCCATTTGAGAGTCTGTAGTATTTTACATCAAGTGAAATTCAAAATGCCATTGAAGGGCAGTGCCATGTTGTGAAAGTTTTAAACCATTTAGGCAGGTACTAGTGCCAACCTGTTTGCTTCTGATTCTACAGCATCTGAACAACATTCTTTCCACTCTTTTTGTTTTGTTTTCACAAGCTCATTCCCAAAATCTATGCTCGACCAGTGAGTTTTGAAGCTTCTGTTTTATGTGATATGCTTATTTTTTAGAATCCTTACATCTCATCTCTTCCATCTCCAACAGCAACTCAAAAACCAATAGACAGCCTGTGTGTACATGTAGGTTTGGATTCCACAAACCACAAACGGAAGACACTCACAGTCAGACCTTCCCCACTTGTTCCTTTCCCTAGGAGCTCCCATTGGCTGTCTGAAAAGCCAGTACTGGAAATCAGGTGCCTCATCTACAAAATATCCACTGCACGGGTGTTGAAATATGTACAAGTTCTCTCCCTGGTGTCACGAAAGAGTTAACAAAAAGGAAGGGAAGAGGGAAGGGGAAAAAAAGGGGTTGGGGAACTCAACCCAAAAAGTTGCTATGGATACACAAGGGTTAAGCTGACACTAAATATTATGAAAATGCAAAATTTATTCAGGTGTACACATTTTAAAACTTAGACTCATTAAAAATATATCATTCAGACATAAAAAAACTTTCCAACATTCATACATAGATGGGTTAGTGCTGTGCAACTGAACCAAACGTGTTTCGGCCCCTCAAAGGACCTTCCTCAGTGGTCACAATTCCAATTACAAATTTGACATACATTCAAATAATTTTTTACATAAGATGTTAAATACATATACAGTATAAGGCCAGATGTTGTTTCCTAAATACTTCTGTATTTGTTTATTATTATTTTATAAGATGGGCCTCCAGTCTAGCCAATTAAAGTCCACCAATAATTCTGGTAGCACAAACTTGCGTGAGTTGAATGTATGTCACTCCATCCTGTACAAATGTTGCAAGTCTCCATCTTGGAGTAAATATCAGCTACGAAGATGTAGCTTAGTCAGCTAGACTGTATATTGTTTTTATTCCTCCATGTAATCTTCCCTAATCGTGAACTTTTAGCTAATTCGCACATGTGTGATGCATTATTATTTTAATGTGCCAACAACAGGAACTAGTGAGACTGGAGAATTAGGCAAAACCTGCCCTCTCATTCTTGCATGACTGAGAAGTTTTCTAAGCTTCGTCCACTGGTGAGATAGGGGCATAGTTGTGATTTTGTTCATCTCCCCTTCCTCACTCCATTCCACATGACTCTCCTATCTTCCAACATGACCTTTTCAGGAGTCATAGGAGGCTGTTGTGGGAAGGAGAAGGTGCATTTACAGAGTCCTCACAAGCACGACAAGGAAGAGGCAGGCAACAGTGCAGGCATAGATTTGTATTATAACCACTTCTTTATACTCTCCTGTCTCCATCCAGGTGGATCACAAAGCTAGTGCTATGTGTAGTTAACAATGACAACAAGTTGCAAAAAATAAATGTCTACTGGCTTAATGTATGGAAATGGGCAGGTGAAGCTTTCCAAGGCATGGAGGTAAACAATATCACCTGGTAAATAGCATCCCATTAAGCATCTATTAAAGATACAGGGCACTTTTTCTCCAAGCTTTTGGCAACCTTGCCAATAATTTGGCAGGCTGGTCACCAATAATATCAATATGAAAATATAAAAGCAACAGTACACAAAAACAAGAACAATTTTCCTAAGCAAAATGGCTTAGATGTGGATGTAGTTTTTTAAAAAAACAGCATTGCTAGATCACAGAGGTTCACTCACTCCAGCATTCTGTTTCATCCACCGGCCAATCAAACATTCCCAGAATGCCTACCAGAAAGGCATGGAAGTTCTTCTGGTTTCACTCCATGGCACTGATATCACCATCTCTGAACATGGGGGTTCTATTTACTTACTGGGGCTAACAGCCTCTCATCTGAAAAGGTGTCTTATTCCCTATTAAAGACAGCAAAAGTAATAGCCATCGTAATCATAACATCCCGTAGCAGTGAATTCCACAAGTCAGTCATTTTTTGAGTGAAAAAAGAATTTTCGTCAGCTCAGGGAATATGCCCTACTTAACTCAATGTTCCTTATTTCTGAGTAAACAGATCTAGTTTGTGCTGATAAAGACTAAACTATAAACCATGGTAGGGCTGCCGGCCTCCAGGTGGGGCCTGGGGATCTCCCACTTTTACAACTGATCTCCAGCTGACAGAGATCAGTTCCCCTGGAGAAAATGGCTGCTTTGAAGGGTGGACTCTATGGCATTGTACCATGCTGAGGCCCCTCCCCTCCTCTCCCCAAACCCCACCCTCTCCTGGCTCCACCTCCAAAGTCTCCAGGTATTTTCCAACCCAGACCTGCAACCCTAAACCATGACCCCAATTCCAAGTTCACCTAAACCATGAATAAGGCAATAGGTGACATCACAACCAATCCTATGCATATTTTCTCAGAAGTAAATTCTGCTGTGTTCAACAATACTGTTATTAGTATAGAACTATAACCTTGGGAAGGGACCTGTTCCACTTGGGGATACCAATAGTGGCCTCTTTGCAGTGTTGTGAGAATTGCTGTGAATGTGTATGTGAATTGTATTAGGGTTACCCAGATGTTCTCTTTTTAAAGGGCAGGTGTGTGTCTATCCTCTTTTGGTCTCTTTTTTAAAAAACTAGTGAAAAATATCATCTTTTTTGCTTTTCAAAATATGGTAACCCTAATTGTATTAAACATTCTAAAGTAATGTATGTGCTACATATTACTGTTAAACCAGACCTTTTAATGTTCAAACATAAAAGACTTATCCTGTGTGCTCAGGCCTTCTTTATCCCTCCTCACTAAACATCCAGAAGAGACTTAACCATAGTGCAGCTGTGGATCATGTAAATGTTCCTTTGCTTCTATGTTGCTTCAGTCGCCACTGCCAGTAGTGTGCCATTAGCTGGACATAACACATTGGCATCACTCAGGGAGTGTTTTAAAACTTTTGTCATAATTATTTTAAACTCATAGGCCAAGGTGTTTTTGGATCTCTGCAAAAGATGGGCATAAAATATAAAACACAGAGACAGTTCTGTTTCCTATGGCCTGTTTAATAGAAGTGTTTTCTTGGCATATCTGTTGACTTCGTCATGAAGCTTCAAAAAATAATCTCTCTAGCATACCTCACAAGGAATGTTGTGAGAATAAAATGGGTGTGGCCGGCGTCCTGAGTCCCTTGGAGGAAGAGTGAGCTTTCCAAAAAAAAGAAAAAAAGAGTTGCAATAAAATATAAAGGATGCTTGTTGTGACAGCTAAAAGCCTGCCTGAATTACTATAGCATAGAAAACGGAAGCACACTTCCGGCAGCATCTCTCCTCAAGCCCCGCACTTGTCACCGTTGCTACATCCCCAATCTTCAAAAAGCATCCGAACTGCGCAGACGCAGAAAAGCAGCGCTTCATGATCCCCAAATAACAATGGCTGCCAGGAGGAGCGCATGCGTGATGTGCTGTCCATCTCCCCACAAAGTAATGGTTGTCTGTGTGGGTATAAGTGGGTAGGATTTCGTGTGCGGCTGCCTCGGGATACAGTCTTTTTTCCAGCGCCGAGCTCCACCGAGATGCCGCAGGAACCCGGAGAAGAGGAGGAGGAGGAGGCAGGCCGAGGGGTCTTGCGACGTCTGCGTTCAGTAAACACGCGAGAACCTTGTCAGGTCGTTTTCTGCAACCGCAGCCCCCGTACGGTGAGCCCCATCTGGCTGGGCTTCGACGGGAAACCGCGCCCCTATCCGAGCCTGCCACCGGGCACGGGACGCAGGATGCACAGCTACTTGGGTGGGTACGAGGAGCCTTACGGTGGAGGGCAAAAAGTGTGAGCGTGCGCTGTATAAACGCGTCATAATGGCCTGTTTGGCTTGATGGGCACTGAATACACAGGTTTTCCGGGTGGGCGGTAGAGCTGCCACTTCTCTGCTGCGGTTTCTGTGTATTAATTGCAAAGATTCAACAGGTGAAGCTTTCTGCTGTGGTAGGCTTATGGTGACTGCTGAATTTCTGCTTTTGGTGCATCTGTTTAAAGGCCTCTGCTATAATTGTAGTTAGTGAATTTCTGTCGTGGCTGTGTGAATGACAGGTAATCCCAGATGGAGAGCTGAGGACATGTCTTGCAGCTCTCTATCTGCTTTATAGTAAAGAAAATGCTGGTGAGAAGGAAAGATCCACTACCTGAATATGGATGGCTACCCCAGTAAAAGTTGCAAAGTTGCTGGTTGGATCCATGGCATCATTTAAGCTATGGTTTTGTAGGGCTAGAGGCTCAGCACGGGAAGTATGTATCTCTGAACGTGTCTAGAGTGCCTTTCTTTCTCTGACCAACAGCTGCATTGAGCTTCTGTTACATCCTGAACCCAAACTACATAATGACAGCAGCAGATTGGTTTTCAAATGTTGGTCTGCCTTCTGAACATTCAGAGTATGTGGATGAGGGTTGCTGAACTCTCTCCCTTGATGTTAAGTTTTCCCCTCCAGGGAAAGATTCAGACTCTCCACCAGCACGCTCTTCTGACCCTTTGATTGCATTTCACATGTGCATGGGGCAGACTCACATTTAAAGATTTGCGTTTGCCACTACTGTGGTGTTTGGGCCTTAGAGACATGGGAAAATATGAATTTGATCCATGTGTAAACTTTCACTGAGACCAGACAGTGTGCCTATGGGCCCTGGAGGCACTAGTAGAATTCTAACCAGGAAAGGTAATTGTCACACAGCAGAGGGCACTCCTCTGCTTGAGTACATGTAGTGAGGAAGAATGGAGAGGTTCAGAGATGATTCTGAAACTGTTCCTCATCCGGTGGCTTGGTAATTTTGATGGTAGATCTTTTTTTAAAGTTCAGTATTTTTTACCCTGTGCATTCAGTTTTGATTTCTCAAGGAGGATATCTTAATACAAAAGTCTGCTTACAACATGCAGGCATGATGTTTGATATTTCTGTTTCAAGCTTTGTAGTTCTGATGGGGGGGGGGGATAATGTATGCCTTTGCAGTAGTGAGGGGATGCTGTCACCAGTATTCCCTCTAAGCTGAGTTCGTGTGAGCTAGTTCACAGTTTTTTAGCCTCTGGCTCACACATTTTTGTCTTAGCTCAGGAAGGAGGGCTCCAGAGCAAACTAATGTATGCCGTAGCCAAATCGCTTGCTCACAAAGTAGCTCACAAAGTAGAATTTTTGCTCACAAGATTCCACAGCTTAGAGGGAGCATTGGCTGTCACTTGATACCATGTATTCCAGGGTCAGGAGCAGCCAGCAAAACAGTAAACTTGCCTTGTTTTCTTTGGGTACTTTTCTGGGCTATAATGTGTCTTTTAATAGTTACATGCTCAGTTTACAATAGTTATGAGCAGGCATTTCATTATTTCAGTTTTATTTTGTTTTTAGAACACCTTTGGTTGTTCAGAGATGCAGGGACAGATGATCGTCTGCTGGTCAATGAGACAGAGCTGTTTGTGGCTAGTCGCAATGCGAATGGACAGCCTATATTTGCAAACATTACATTGCCAGGTAAGTTATCAGTGCATATTCCAGGATGGACCAGATTAATGCCCTTATCCCTTTGTACTATGAAAAGGTGTATAAAAGAACTGCCAGTAGCAATGCTTTAATTAGCATTCAGTACCATTAACTGGTGTAGATCCTACTGTGAAACCTTTTGAGATTCGGATTGGGAGGTACTGTGTACAATTTGGTCTTTATTGGAAGCTAGATCTAAAAAGCAGGACCAGAGCTCAGTCCCTGGTATGATTGGAATGGTGTTTATGGAACCCTGCCCAGGAGATTTATTGTTCCTCCTCATGGGGTTTAGTTTATGGAATTCCTCAGGGTCAGCCTTGTATTCCATGCTATTTATTATCAACATGGAACCACTGGAAGAAGTCATTTTGTAGCATAAAATGTGCCGTCATCCTTTTCATCTAATCTAGGTGAAACAGAGGAAGTCCTGAGCAGATATCTGGACTGGATGAGGATGAGGGGATGATGGAAACTTAATCCACACATGGCAGGTGATGATGGTATAGGACACTGTGAACTGGTTAGGTGAGAGGAAATGCCTATTCTAAATGGGATTATATTCCCTGAAGGATCAGGTTTGTACCTTTCCAGGTAACAAGGGGACCTTTTTATCATTCTGCTTAGGCTGGTTTGCTCACTACTAAATACCAGGTTTGCTCACTACTAAATAATAGAGATGGGGCCACTGTTCATGCATTGATAACTCTTAGATTAGATGAGTAGCTGTGTTTGTCTGTAGCAGTAAAAAAGAGCAAGAGTCCAGTAGCACCTTAAAGACTAACAAAATTTGGTAAATCTCTTACATAGTTATGACTTTAATTTTTGAATACTTTAATAAAGCAGTGTAACAGTAGGTAAAAATATTCTGATCTGTTTTGCTTGTAGGGTCTCATGGCAATCTAAACTTGTTTGGATCATATTCCTGTTTACCCAAAGAGAACATCTTAGATGTTCAGGGCTATTTTTGGGCAGGAACGCACAGGAACGGAGTTCCAGCTGGCTCCCGAGTTGGCCACACCCAGCAGGAACTCGTTAGCATAATAGGCCACACCCAACAGCAGACACTTATTAGGACTGGCTACATTAGGAGTGTGTGGCCTAACATGCAAAGGAGTTCCTGCTATAAAAAAGCCCTGGGTTTTGACAACAAACAAGGTAAACAGAATAAGAAGCAAAAGGTGAGTGTGTCTGGATGACCACACTTCTGCGAACATGGGGTGTGTGGCCTAATATGCTAATGAGCTGTGCTGTCAGGGGTGTGTCCTAATAAGCAAATTAATTTCTGCTGTTGGGTGTGGCCTATTATGCTAATGAGTTCCTGCTGGGCTTTTTCTACAAAAAAAGCCCTGGATGTCATCATGCCATTCACATTACCCCAAATATTGAAAACCTATGGTGGGAGACTTTATATAACATTCAGGTGGAATAGAAAGAACTTTGAATCAGCAGAGTCTGGCAGAGCACAGGCTCTGGACGCATGATGTCCTGGGGTCAGTCCCTAGCCATCTCCTTTTAAGGGATCTTATGTAAGCAGTTGTTCAGGAAGATCTTTCTCAACTTTATAGTCATAGTGAGTCACACTCACTAGACGCTTCATATGGGTCCCCACTGAGGCAAAGGACAGGGTATAAATAAATACAATATATTTTTATTTAATTTTTTAATGCAACCTGAAAGGTCAAAACCAGCTTCTTGTGTTGAGCCAAGAAGGGAATTGGAAGCCAAAGTAAATGTTGCAGGTGTATTTGTAGTCATTATATGGGTTCCAATAAGGATCCTCACTGTTTTGTAGTAACCAAAGCTGGTTCATAATTCTGTGTTCACAGTTTTTTCTTCTTCTTCCAAGTTGTTTGTAACAAGATAAATATCATTTTAGTGTTTTCATTAGCTTTTTTTCCTATTTCGTCCACAATATTAAAAGAATTAGTATCCTGCGCATCTTAACTGTCTTAACACAGTTATTCAGGGTGTGTATCTTCAGCAAGACACTAAAAAGCTCATTTTTTCCATCTCTGTGCAGTGTTCACTCTAAAAGAGAGATGTCTTCAAGTTGTCCGTACTTTGGTGAAACCAGTGGATTACAGAAAACTAGACATTGTTAGGTCATTATATGAAGATCTAGAAGATCATCCTGACATTAGGAAGGACCTTCAGCGGCTTTCTTTTGAAAGGAGTGAAATGCGAAGGAATTCAGTCCCTGATAGAAGTGAAGACTCCTAACTGGACAATCTGTTTTCACTAATAAATTGTGGGGTACAAATAGCATTTACTGTGGCTTATGAATACCCTTCAGTGATGTCATGGGGTTTTAGGAGGCAGAACTTGTTTTTACGTAGAATGTATAGCTTCATAACACAAGGACAGCCACAGTTGTGAGACCATGCGCTACTATGTTAAATCTTGGTTAAATCTGGACACAACCAATCTTTGCATTAGTTTGATTCATGGAATACTAAGTACAAAAACTCATCCAGATGGTACACAACTGTAAGAACAATTGCTGCCGAAGCTATTTTCATGTTTCTTTCTCTTTATCAATTTATTATACATGCAGGGTATTCCTAAAAATTAGAAATTGGGCAAATGCATTCTCATACCAAAGGAGGAACCTTCCTGAAATCATAAATTGCCGCCCTAACCATCTGTGTAATGTAGCAGAAACTTACTGACTCCTTTGGTTTGCCCAAAGATTTCTTACACATTGCCATTTCAAATGGGGCTTTGATATGTCCCTGTCTGTGGTATTTGCACTGCACTATAAGCTTGCCCTAGGCAAGTATGTGATGCAGCAAAAAACTGGTATAAAGGGAACACCATTAGTAGTTATGTGTTATGTTTTAGTACTCTATCATTCCTGTCTAAATTGGTATCATCTCACCAGTGTTCTTCCTACTTCAGTCAAAACAAACATCTGACAACCCTGTGATCTGCTGATACCAGAACTCAGTTTTACTATGGTTCAGATCTCAGTATTGCAATGCAAGTGAGTGGAGTAAGTGTGGGAATCATACCTGGCTTTTCCTCTGGCAGGTTCCAAGCAAGAGCCTAACAAACTCAGCATTCTGTGAATACTTGTCAAGGGCTTTTTGTCTCCCCCACCCCACATACCTGTACAGAATATTAACATTGTGAGGCTGACTACTGAAAGAGTATCTTTTAGTCACAGGGAGGCTGAATGCAACTCTGTCATATTCTGATATCTCACACCTTCAACTAATAAAATTGCACAATTAAAAATGCTGTAATGTTAGACCTCAGCACCAGCAATGATTACTAATTGATCCTGTGCACTTATCTCCAGTCCAAAGGCAAATCCTTACAGAGATAATGTGAAATTAAATTGTTGGGAGCATCAGTTTAATTTGCTGTGTATTGTTACATTTTGTAAGGCACTAGTTTGTGGAACAAAATATGTACTGTCTTGAAAAAAAATCTCTCACATGTACATTCTGTGATTTTTAAAGAAATTTGTAACTTGGATGTTACCTTGAGGACTGCATTCATGAATTTAACTGGGGCTTTCCCTTGGAGAAAATAAATGCATGTAGTATGTGTAGTACAATACTTAAAGAGTTGAAAGAAGACTGTTTAAATGCCAGTTTTTTCAGTTTTTGGTGGAAGCCCTTGTCAGGATGGGGATTCGAAAGAAGTTGTCCGCCATAGCTGCCTATTGACAGCTTTCTACTGTGCATCTGTTTTGTACGTGTGCCTTTGGATTGCAGTCTTTGCAGACAAGGTACTCCTCCAGTTATGTATTAGGCATTCAAATTGTAACACTAAGGAACCCAAAGTGGAGGAAATGCAAGGCTCTTCCACTATCAGGGAAAAATTGGCTTAGTGACTACATAGGCCTACTTTAAATAAACTGCGGCCCCGGTCACACGGGAAGTTTAGGGCCGGAAGAGGGACAGATCGGGGGCGCAGCAAACGGGCGCGATCCCACCGCAACATCTGGGAAGCGTTGCGCACCCGTCCCCGATCCGGCCCTTCAGGTCGAAAATCCGTAGTTAAAAGAAACCACCTACAGAGGTGGACTTAACCAGAGGTGGACTTAACACATGCGCAGCCGGCTGTCTCGGTCTCCGGTTGGTGGCTTCCTCCCCGGCATCTGATCGTGCTGGGGAGCAACGGCGCGGCGGCTCAGGGGATCTATGTGATCCCGCTGCCGCGTGTTTGTTTTGGTGCGGCTCTGAATAGCCGCACTTTGCCCGTGTTTTTTTCTGCCGTGTTGCAGGGACCTGCATTAATTTTTGTGTCTGAATTGGGGGGAGCTGGCAGAGTACTTTCTGCTGATACTTTGAAATTAACATTTTGGAGCAATGTTACTTTTATGTTGATCTCATAAATATCCAACTCACATGAATAATATGTGTTATGTTTCTGAAATTTTAGAAGTTGCTTTTAATATCTATTTGATGATTTTTGTAGCACTCCATAGTTTAATGTATTTTTAAAAGATTTTCAAGATATTAAAAGTTTCTATGCCATTGTACTCCTTTAATTTCCCCCTTTCTCTGCCATTGTATTCCTTTGGTTTTCCGCTATCCACTAAGATTCACAAAACTCTATTGTAACTTTTACTAGTACTCTTAAATTTGAGTCATCCATGTAAGCAATGTTGTTTGCAAGCATTCCTATAGCCAGGATGGCTGCAGGTAGTTTAATGCTTTTATAGCCAGCATGGTGTAGGGGTGAAGAGTGATGAACTCTAATCTGGAGAATCAGGCTTGATTCCCCACTCCTTCACATGAAGCCTACTGGGTGACCTTGGGCCAGTCACAGTTCTCTCAGAGCTGTCTCAGCCAGTGTTCCCTCTAAGCTGAGTTAGTGTGAACTAGCTCATAGTTTTTTAGCCTCCAGCTCACACATTTTTGCCTTAGCTCAGGAAGGATGGCTCCAGAGCAAACTAATTTATGCAGTAGCCAAATCATGAGCTCACAACTTTAATGCCAGTAGCTCACAAAGTAGAATTTTTGCTCACAAGACTCCATAGCTTAGAGGGAACATTGGTCTCAGCCCTACCTAGCTCACAAAAGGTGCCTGTTGCGGGGAAAGGAAGGAAAGGTGATTATAAAGTGCTTTGAGACTCCTTAGGGTAGAGAAAAGTGGGGTATAAAAACAAACTCTTCATCATGTGATAGTTCTTTTTTCACATTCTTCATACTTTGGTCTCAGAATGGGCAGTTTGGTAATTTGGAACCTAAATGGTTTTTTTTTTTTAAAAAAAAAAACTGAATGCATACCCTTTGTATAAATTTGCCAGCTACCATCAGGGAAGTTCTTTTTTTATAAATTCTAAGGATTGTTCTTCCAAATCCCACCCATCAGATGAGTAAATGTTTCTGGGAAGCACTTTCTAAGGTCTCCTGCTGTAAACATCTGCATGTGAGTTCTAGTCGTCGTTTTTCCATCCAAGCCAAGCATCTTTCACTATATAATGCCATAGTCTTCAGTCTTTCTAGATCTTGGACTTGCTGATTGTGGGGGCCACTGAGCTGCAAAAGGGACAGTTTTGAGCACAGGGGGATCAAGGCGAAGAGCATAAGTAGTCAAAGACTCAGGGATCGGAGACATGAGCTAAGTCCCAGGGCTATGGATCAGTGAGTCTCTGCTTTACATACAGAGGGACCCATATTCAATCCCTGGCATTTCTAATTAGAAGGAACTGGTAGCAGGTGATGTGATAGACTAAGAACCACTGCAAGTCAGACTGGACAATACTGACCTTGATAGATCAGTGGTCTGACTCACTATGAGGCAGCTCCATGTGTGTTCATCACAAAGTGCACCATTCTGAAAAGCAAACCTAGGATCATGGAAGAATCCTCCACTTAGTGACCTTGGTTCATCATCCTGCTTTTTCTCTGAGCATGCCAAGGGAGGCAGGGGGGCATGGCTCCCTTGCTCTTTAGGCACTCACAATAGCAGCATAATCCTTTCAAAGGGCAGCAGCTCTGTAGGGGCTCACAGCTTCCTAGTGGAGATCATGGTCTTGACCACATGGACTAACCATAAATGTAAGTATAGCAACACTAAGGTTAGGGCCTTTTGCGCAGGGGGGGGGGCAACTGCTCTGCCCCCCCCCCCCCCATGGGAGGGGATCTTACCTAAAATATGGTTCAGTGTTTGAAATGATTAGATTGATCCTCTTCCTGCAAGGCAGAAAAACTGACAGGTTAAAAAGACCAAGAGTTATTTTAATGGCTTGGGATTCCCCAAACTTTCCAGTTCAGCCATCTGTTAACTTCAATGGACTATAGTCCTATTATGTCACCTGGAAATTTAATCAAGACATAGCTTGGCTGGTAGCCTGTGTGGAGGGTGTGGCAATTTAAGCAACTTTACCAGCAAAGAGTATTTACTTATGCAGCTAAAATTCCGGATGGGCAAAACTCACCTTGGGTTCTCTTTCAAAAATCTCACCACTTTGATACTAAAAAAAACTATTAAGTAATGAGGAACTCCGCCAGCCTTCACTACAGAGTAGTTATGCCACGAATTAACACACGTGATGGATGGTGGCAGGTGCACTGCCGATTAGCCTTCATACTTTGGAAGTGAAGTCAGCTATTGCCACAACTGAGCAACAAAAACAAGCACGCCCCACCGGGACTCAGCCGAAGGCCACTCCTGGCGCGCAAGACTGACGATTTCCTTTTCACGGATTGCAACGCGCCGCTTGCACAAACCTTGAGTAAACTACCCCTTGACGGGAGTTTACCACACAGCTCATCTGAGCCAAGTGCCAGAGCCTGCAGGGAAGTGACCCTCTGGAAACTGACGTCAGGAAGAGGGGGAGGAGGAAGGAAGGCGTCGGATCGGAGCGTGAGAGGGAATCGGCGTGCCAGTCGGTCCGTCCGGCTGCCTCTGCGAGGAAACCTGGCTAGGACTATCCGTGCCGAGGAAAACGAAAAAGCTACCTTATTCTGACGACTGTGAGAAAGACAGTCTTCTGTCTGCGGGGGAAAGAGTTCAGCTTCTCTGCCCCCCCCCCCGGTCCTTTCTCTTGATGGACGGCTGTTGCGCGTGACACGGCAGAAATGGCCCTGCAGCCGCGTCCCTCGCCGGCTTGCCCGAGGAGTGAGGGGGCTCGGCAATCTCCTTACGTGTACAACATCCCTTCCGACGTGTTGGGGAAGTTCTGCGAGCAGATGGACTGTTTGAATAATTATGACTGGATGCGCTTTGGTGAGGAGCACGAGAATCTGTTGGGCGGGGCGGAGAGGGATCCCGCGAGTTCGGTGGGCTTTTAATGATAGGCAGCGGCGGGGGTAATGAGATTGATGGGGGGACGGGACGCACACATGGGTGACCTGGTTTTTGTGGCTGTATACTCAACTTGGACAATCTGTGGGTAACTACGGTAAACCGAGAAAAAATTCTGACTCAGCTGCTCCTAATTGCTTAAAAGATTACGTAATGTGCATGTCTTAATGCTCTGTCAATCAGATCTTGCCAACTGGGGAGTTCTGGTCACCATCTCTCGAAAGGGACATTGCAGAGCAGGCGAAAGTACAAAGGAGGGCATCCAAGTTGATGAGGGGGTTGGGAGCACGTTGCCCATGAGGAAAGGCTGAAGAGGCTGGGACTTTTCACTTTAGAAAAAAGATGATTAAGGGGGAATGTGATAGAGGTTTATAAAATCATGCGTGGGGTGCAGAATTCTCTGCCAGAGGATGTAGTGATGTAATGCCAGAGGATGTATTGGTTAAAAGTACGAATTCTCATCTGGGAGAATCGAGTTTGATTCCCCACGCCTGCACATGCAGCTGCTGGTGTGACCTTGGGTCAGCTACAAGTTCTCTCAGAGGTGTTCTCTCAAGAGCAGTTCTCAAAAGAGCTCTCGCAGCCCCACCTACCTCACAAGGTGTCTGTTGTGAGGAGGGGAAGGGAGATTGTAAACTGTTCAGACTCATGACTGAAGGGCGGGGTATAAATCCGATCTCTTCTCTTCTTCTTCTGACAGCCACAGAAATAGATGCCTTATAAAGGGATTAGACATATTCATGGAGAATAGGTCTATCAGTGGCTACTAACCATGGTGACTATCTTCCATATTTGAGGCAATAAACCTCTGAATCCCAGTGTCTGGAGGTAACATCAGGGGAAGGCCTCGGCCTCTGTGCTCTGTTGGACCTCCAGAGGAACTAGCTGGGCACTGCATGAGACATGATGGACCACTGGTCTGATCCAGCAGGGCTCTTTTTATGTTCTCATGGACTTGTAGGAAAGTTCTTCTCATGATATTATGATTGGCAAAATCTGGCTTGGAATAGCAGACTAGTGGCTGAATCTCTTTTAGAAAATTAAGTACGTTTTCTGAAATGTGTTGGAGGAGAGCATTAAGGATACCATGGACCAACAAAAAGACAAATAAGTGAGTTCTAGACCAAATCAAGTCTGAACTCTCCCTAGAAACTAAAATGCTGAAACCGAAGCGATTGTACTTTGGTCACATTATGAGAAGACAAGGGTCACCGGAAATGACACCTGGAAAAGAGAAAGACCCAGCATGAGATGGGTTGACTCAATACAGGAAGCCACGTCCTTCAGTTTGCAAGACCTGAGAAGGGCTGCTAACTATAGGATGTTTTTGAAGAGTGTTAATTAATTGGGTCGGAAGTGACTTGATGGCACTTACGAAGAGAAGAAGAAGAGATTGGATTTATACCCCGCCCTTCACCACCCAAAGGTGTCTCAGAGCGGCTTACAAACTCCTTTCCCTTCCCCTCCCCACAACAGACACCCTGTGAGGTAGGTGGGGCTGAGAGACCTCTGACAGAAACTGCTCTTTTTTTCAAGAACAGCTCTTATCAGAGCTACGGCTTGCCCAAGGTCATCCAGCCAGGTGCAAGTGGAGGAGCGGGGAATCAAACCCGGTTCTCCCAGATTAGAGTCCGCGCAATTCACCACTACACCAAACACCCAACCTCCACATTTTATATATTTAAAAAAATATTTTGTAAAAAAAAAATCTTTGTACAAACATACAGTCTTGCTACAGCTTGCTCCAAATTGTTTCTTTTGAAGATGCAGAGAGCAGTAAGATATTCCAAGACTGCAGTCTTCGGTGAGTTTCACAGGAGATGCATATCAGAAGGACATTATTAGTGTGTCAAACGCTTACTTCACTACCACCACTAGGCTGAGTGATAACTTTGTGGAAAGAAACCTCCCCACTTTTTGTTCAGGGTTCCCCCCCCCTTAAGGACAATAAAGTCATGATGACCTCTTTTCCACTGTGGCATCATCCTTCTGGAATGCCCATGCCCATTAGTCTGCCTGATACCTTGACTACTGGTTTTCAGGCAATGTGTAACATCTTTTCGTTTTTTCAAATTTTATTGGGCATTTAATCTTAATTTCTTTCTTTCTCCATTAGATTTACTTGATCTGTTGATATTATTATTGTTTTATTTAGATGCCTTTTAATTGTCATTAGTTGAACAAATTGACTTTCGAGGAAGTAGAGCAAAAAAAAATCTTGTAGTAAATAAAATGTCCAGAATGAGTCTGATATTTTGGTCATAAGCTACTCATAGAAGGAACTGCAAGTGATTTTGTCAAGTTTATCAAATGCCTCTTTGTGATAGGGAATATATTCAGGAGTGATTTGTAAAAGCTAGTTTTATCTGAAGTTTTCATTTCAGTTGTAAGTGTGAGTTTAAGGGCTGAAAGTAGCAGGATTGCATTCCTGAATATTTTGGGGCTGATAGTCTGCTGGTCAAATAAGTTTCCCTGGTGCCACAACTTGGGAAAGCTGTTTAAGATGTTGTGCAGGTGCAATGTGAATGGCAAAAAGGTGCAGGATGGGAGGTGGTTGTTCCCTGCACTAGCCTTCTCCCTTGCCCGCTGAGGCCATATGTTCTTAACCAGGCAGATACACATTACAGCCAATGGGATCAACTATTGGAAAAGACAATGAAATGCCTAGGAACAACAAATGATATGATTAAAAATACAGAAACTAAAGACACTAGAAGACAAATTAAAAAATCTGTAAGGAAATTGGATGTTACAAGTACGTCTGTTAGGATGTGCAGGGTATGTTCGACACTTCATTTGGGAATTGCCCTCCTGACACGGCTGCCAAAATATTTTTATCAGTTGACATTCCCAAAACTAAGAAGAGCTTTTACTTTGGCAAGACTGAATGTTCTTCCCTTGGCAGTTTTGGAAGGCAGATATAATAAAGTATGGCCCCGGTCACACGGAGCATTAGGCACGCTAGAGAGACGGAAGATAGGCGGATTTTATCAGTTGACATTCCCAAAACTAAGAAGAGCTTTTACTTTGGCAAGACTGAATGTTCTTCCCTTGGCAGTTTTGGAAGGTAGATATAATAAAGTATGGCCCCGGTCACATGGAGCATTAGGCACGCTAGAGAGACGGAAGATAGGCGGATTTTCCGGGCGCGATCTCACCGCCACATCTGGGAAGCGTAGAGCTCCCGTGGCTCACCCGAGGCTTCACTCTGAAGATGCCCTATAAAAAACTAGTACCTCCAAGGTATTAGTTTCCGGAAACCGCGGGGCAAGGGCGGGCGTCAGATCATATTTCCGGTGTTAGCTCGTGGCATCCGGCGCCTGCCCATGTCCTGTCGCGAAAACTTTTTTTTTTGTCAAGTCTCCACTTTTTTTTGTCTTTTTTTTGGGTCAAGTCTTTTTTGTCAAGTCTCATTCTGGAAAAAATCCATAGCACAAGCACCCAATGGCGCATGCGAACACTTGGGTTAAAAAAACAACACAACCCCCACAGTGCCGCTTCTTTGCCGCGTCGCAGGAGTGAGGTATGATCGGCACCTCCCCCCAACCACGGGACGTCGGGCGGGACGTTTGGTTCAGCTGCTGCGCGGTAGTTCGCTCCAGGGCAAACAGCCACGCCTCCCCCCCGCGATATCCGGCCCATGTGACTGGGGCCTATCATACTCTAATAGAACATGCAGATGCTAATATCATACAGCCGAAACCATTAAACATATGATTATGGAGCGCCCTATATTCAATGAGTTGAGGGCTAATTTAGTCACCCCTTTACTTAAAGATATGGAACTGCTAAATGTGCGAGCCCAGGTGTCATGGCTATTGTCAGATACCAATGATCATGTCACCCTCTCAGCGGCAAAATTCATAGGTGCAATAATAAAATATAAGAGAAATAATACTGAGTAAGGTCTTTTAAAATATTTTTTTTGGTTCTAATTTCTGTTTAAGGTGATAGCCGTATGAGCAGTACTAGTTAGACAGACAGACCATACATTTAAATATCTACTCACAAGGTCAACTGTGGCAAGGACCAAGGAAAAAAGCTTATTGTTTTCTCCCCCCCTTCCCCAAAATGGAAAATGTGATTTTAGGCCACTGATGTATTGCAAATGACCTGCACTAGTAGTTGCAAACAGATCCCCTCCCCATTTTTGCTTTCAAGTTGGAGTTGACATAGTGTCTTCCTAGGGTTTTCAAGGGTGCCTTTGCATTGCAACCCTAGATTTCCTTGCTGGTCTCCCACCCAAGTACTAACCAGGGCTTAGGCTTCCAAGATCTGTCAAGATCAGGCTAACCTGGGCTATCCAGGCCAAGGCAAACAAATAGCATAGTAAAATATTGAATGGTAGTAACTCTTATAGACATCTTTATGAGGTTGGTTGCAAGTGGAAGTTATAAAAACCATAATGAGCACCATCAGATGGTCCACAGCCCAAACAGGGACCAAAATGCCAACAAGTTTGTATTCATGCAAGTCTGAATTCAGCAGCAGCCCTTAGCAGATATCTATGGGATCCAGCTGCTAGTCTTCTTCAGCTCACACAGTAGTAACTGAGGAACGGGTGGTGTGCTGATAGTTTTTCAGGACTTCTTTTGCTTCTTCCCATCATATAGCCAGTACCCTGCTGACAAACAGAGGATCAAATATCTGCCTTGCACAGTACGCTCTTCACAGTAGTTCTCACACAGCACTTCCTCAAGAGACTTCCTCATTCTTTCTGGATTCCTGCAGGGCTCTGTTGTCCACTGAGGAGCCTCAGGCAGTCCTGCCAGCTGTCCTTTTTTCTCCCTCTCCTCCAGCCTTTGAGACCAAAGGTAGCATGGGCACTCTCCCTCAGCTACTCTGTTGGAAATCTCTCCCTCGGATTTACAGAGTAGTCCTGAATCAAGACCTGATTCACCATGGAAAGGCATTCATCCATTGATGTTTAACTACATGTTTAAAAAGATCAAGGACAAACACTAACCGTAGCATATGCATAAATGAAACTCAATTGGGTGTTGAAGGGGCATATGGGTTTCTCTTTCTCGTGCTAAATTTATTGAAAACCAAAATCTCTCTGCTTTCTTCTTCTTTTAGCATCCAATGTGATAACTGATCAGACTGAGCTGAGGAAAATCAAGTGTCTGGAGAAGACAGGAATCAGTATAACGAGAGAGCTGATGTGGTGGTGGGGAGTTAGACTTGCGACTGTCCAGCAGCTTTTGGAACTCCTGAGTGAGCTGCAGTTTTATCGGGCAGCCAAAACCATTGCAGATTGTGAGTAGCTGGTCTTTTACTTTTGATCAGTTAGTCTAAAAATCTAGTATGCTTTCCATTTTTCCATCTTCATGGGAGAAATGTTCAAAATATCCAGATCAGCAGCACTGCAGTTCCTGTAACATTACACAGACATGCACAACGTCTCCCTTAGAACCTTTCACATCTGAAGCAAAAAGTAAAAATGACTGAGATCTATGTCTATGTCACTTTGCTAACTGCCTCCAATGGGTAGTGGAAGGGTATCACAGGCTGTTGAATCTGGACTAGACACTGTAAAACCCCACTGAATGCTACAGTATGGATGACTATTAAGGATCCATCTTTTCTGTATAAGAAAAGTAGCTTGACATAAACACTTTGTAAATTTAGAGAACTCTTACATCAAGGAAAACCTTTTAGGCATTTTCTACTATTTTCTAGTAGATTTAATAGAAATATTTGTAGCCCATCCATCACCACCCCCGCCAGTCGGGGATAGGCTCCATCCTCCCTGTCTGTGCTGTCTTTCTCCTCCATAAGAACCCAAAGTGGATTACATCATTCTCCACTTCTGCTCACAGCCTTGTGAGGAACACATGAAGCGGCCTTATACTGAATCAGACCCTTGGTCCATCAAAGTTAGTATTGTCTATTCAGACTGGCAGCAGCTCTCCAGAGCCTCAGGCTGAGGTCTTTCACATCACCTACCATCTGCTCCTTTTGACTGGAGATGCCGGAGATTGAACCTAGGACCTTCTGCATGCCAAGCAGATGCTCTCCCTGAGAGCCATGACCTGCCCAAAGCCACCCAGCAAGTTTCCATGGCAGAGCAGGGATTCAAACCTGAGTCTTCTAAATCCTAGTCCAGCACTCTAGAACTGCTACCTGTTTAGGATTGTCTCATGGTTACTGAAAAAATGAGTTGTGATGATGATAAAACTACTGCCCCATCAACGTATCAGTTCTGAATAGCTGTATGACAAGCCACAACAACTGAGAGAAATTCAGCTATGGCAAGAGTGATTTTTGTTGTGTGACTCTGACCAATATACCACACTCTCACGTGGCTTCATATTGGAAATCCTGCAGTCACCACTTAGTTTTACATGATAATGTCAAGTGGAAAGAGAGAGAAGAAGGATTGGCTACCAGTGTAGTCTGGGCATTATTTACATTTTTATCAATTCTGTGTACGTTAGTTGTTTTTCCCCTGTAAAAGTAACATTAGGACAAAACTTTGTAAATACAAAACTATTTGGGGAAGGGAATTTTTTCTAGCACAGAGAGAATCCAGATGTTGTTTTGTCATTGCCATTAGCAATTTCCTTTTTGCATTTGCTCTGCATAAGGCCCACCCAATATGGCACTGCTGAAAAGAGAGGCTGAGTGAATGAGTGTTGGTGGGGAAAAGTAAAAATATCTGATCCTCAGAGCCCTAGACTGGGTCTATGGTGCATAGTGAAAGGAGGATTAACTATCTCACCACCCCTATATGACTTCGCCTGTAAAAATTAATCCCTTAACTTCTGTCACAATCCTTGTCTCTCCCAGCACTCAGTTCACAGTTTTCTGCCTTCTCCTGCTGGGCTCAGTGCAGAGCTGAGTCACCAAGAAGGTGGGGTTCGTGCTGAAAGCTCTGAATTAGTTAAACCATATAGGACCAGAACCAGATAGTGTGCCATCTCCAGAGAAGTTCCAGCAATGAAGTGCAGATGACACTACGTTGTTCAGGGAGGACTGGTGAGGCGCTCCAGAAAAATCTGTCAAAGCTGGACGAGTGGGTGTCAGTGTGGCAAATGAGGTTCAACGTGGGCAAGTGCAAAGTAATGCACATTGGAGCAAAAATTATAACTATAAATATTTGTTGATGGGGTCCGAACTGGCGGTAACTGACCAGGAGAGAGATCTTGGAGTTGTGGTAGATAATTCACTGAAGACATCAGCTCAGTGTGTGACTGCAATAAAAAAAAGGCAAATGCTATTCTAGGAATTATTAGGAAAAGCTGCCCCCCCCGCCCCCAAGCTGCCCCCCCCCCGCTTCTGAATTTTTTTATGCCACTAAACATCTAATTAAACAGGAAACACAGATAGTTAGGCAAAAGTACTAGCAACAAAAGGGCACTATTGCAGTGTTGGCTAGGGGAAAAAAAGTTTAGCTGAATTAACATAACCTCTGTCCTCCTTGGCTGAGGGATGGGCCAGTCTCTGTCCTCCCCTGGAAGAGCTTATTGAGGCCCATTGTCCCTGAATTCCAGGACTAGACAAAGAGCATATGGTTGCATGTCTCCCCTCCGCCCCCCCCCCCCGTGGGGTGGGGGGCTCCCCTTCTTTGGACCATGACAACTGAGGGGCTTGCTCTCCAGTTCCCGCCACAGACCCATTCACCAATAGTATACCCAGTTATGGATTAGGAGTGTGCTAGCCTCACACTGTTCCCCATTTGTGTGGGGGGTAAATGGGGCTTTCAACAGAGGCAAACACAGGATCTTCCACTCCAAAAAATGCTGACAGCTAGCGGATACTTCACTGCCTCTTTCCATCACCTTAAAGGCACCACCACCCCACCCACAATGCAGCTGCACTGGTTTGTAGGCAAATTCCAAAAAACGAAACCTGTTAGAACCAGCTAAAGTAGCTCATAATAGCTTTTGGTTTCTGTAGAATTTGTCATCAGGCCTGTCGTTCACACAAACAAAGAAGGGGAGAGAAACTGTGTCAACTGAGGCATGGCAGTAAAGCCCCAAATCCCAGCAATTTAGTGCGATTTGAAAAGGTCCCGACACACATCCTGTTTAAGATTTCAACAGCAGATATTGGGCATTGCCAATTTATTTTCTCCCTTCCCCACTTTGGTTTCTGTACTGACTGCTCAGCCTTAGTTCTAAAGAATTAATTTGAAAAGTTACCACTGCTTTGTGATATTTTTGTTGGTCTTAATAAAAGATATGACATGACATTCATTGACAAAATGTGCAGTGGTTTTAAGTGGGTTCAGGTGGGTAGCCGTTTTGGTCTGAAGCAGCAGAAAAGTTTGAGTCCAGTGGCACCCTTAAGACCAGCAAAGCAGTTTTAAGTGATTGGTGTTATGATGTCATTCTAGAATTTCCAAAGCTGCCCAGCAGCGGACCTAATGTGACCTATTTTTTCTAGAGGTTGGTTTCAGATTTCAGGGGGAAAACTACTTAAACCTGGTGATGCAATCAGTTAACCCTTTGATAGTCAGCTTGCATTAGACAACATGTGCAGGGGTTGTAATTTATTTCAGGAAATCCCAGATTTGTTGTCTGGAGAAAGATATGTGAAATGAAAACTGCCTTTTTCAGCAGTAATATTTTTCTCTCTGGAATAATATTTATTGTATTGTATAAGATGTTTGGATTAGTTGTGGTTGCACTGTTGCATCATCATGATGATATTACTGTTTTTTTCCCCCTGTCAGCATATTGATTTTTGGTATTCTACATAACAAATATATCAGCCCTCAAGAAAGTATGTTAAAGGGAAAATAAAACAATAGAAATTTTTACACATCCCAGAATTAGCTGAATCATTACAGCAATAAGTGACACATTCCTATGAACCGTTTTGTTAATATTTTAAATGTTTGGGACACAATCCAAAGTTAAACACTTTTTCAGTCAGAGAGATATAAGCATATGCTTGATTGAAATTAAATGGGCTGTAAAAATGCTTAGTTTTGGCCAGGAAAACTTTGGAAAAAGCAATGCTGGAACTCTCAAGAGGGAAATGAAGTTTTCAATCTGTATACTAAAAACTCATAACCTTTTAAATATTTTTAAAAGACTTTTGTCGAAGAGGTTCCTGTACTCCGTTCTGGCGCATTCCCCCAGAAAAAAAGCCAGCTTTGGGCTGAATTGTGGTTTTAATAATTTTATCCTCACAACAAAAACCCTGTGAGGTAGGTTAGGCTGAAAGCGTGTAACAGGTCCAAAGTCCCCCAAAGAGTTCCACAGCAGAGTGTGGATTCAAACCTGGGTTTCCGAGATCCTAGTCTGAAACTCTAACCACTATACCACATTGACTTTAATGGGGTGGTTGCTGTTGAACAGTAGCCAGCAGCTGGGCCTGGGTGAGTCATGCAAGCCATGTGGTAGCAAGTTGCCTAATGGTTTCTACTGGTCTTGGCCCTGATGAGTCCTCCCTCAAAAGCAAAAATGGCCCTGTCCTCTCTCCCGTTTTTTGCTTAAAGGAACCAAGGCTGGAAGGCTAGCAACAGCCACTGAAGCCATTTGTTTCTTTAAAGCTACAGGCATTGCTTGTAACCCTGCTGAATTTTCCCCAGGTTTGTAGAAAGGTTTGTCTTGGTTGTTCATGGCTCCAGTTTCTGAATTAAGTATCCACAGATTTGGCCATGTTGAGAATTTAGATACATTGACTGCATTGGTGGGCAACCAGGCTGCATTCCATGAATATCAGGATGGTGTAATGTTCAAAGTGTCACACTTGTATCTGGGAGATCCAGGTTCAAATTACCACTCTGCTGTGCATCTTGTTGGGTGACCAAAGGCTAGTCACTCTCTCAGCCCAGCCTACCTCATGGGGTGTGGGTTGTTGTTATTTGGGTAAAATAGAGGAGGAGAAAATGATATACACTGCCCTGAGCTCCTTGGAGGAACAACAGGATGAAAATGTATTAAATAAATTTTGGACCTTATACGGAGTCAAACCAATATTTGCCATCAACCCTCTTTGCCCAGCTCATTTCTCCTTAGGTTTGTCTGCAACCTGGAGAAAAAATGTCCTGTCCCTTTAGTAGAAGCTTAATGTGTGGAAATGGGCAGTTGAAGCTTTTCATGGCACTGAGGTAAATAACAGCACCTGTTAAGACTCTGTTAAAGGGGCAGGACACTTTTCTTCCAGGTTGTTGGCAGCCCTATTCCTGGCTTCACAATTCACATGTGGGACAACTATGGCTAATTTTTCTGTACCAACCCACATGCTTCCCTAGAGCATACTTCTTTCTTAGGATCTAGAACAAATCGTCACTAGACATTCAAGGCTGGCATCTCTTTGAACAGAGAACCCCATCTGAATCATATTTCTAGACCTCCAAACAAGTAGAATTTCCTACCAGTCTGACTTGTGCACATGCATATTATATGTTATATACAGGGTTTTTTTTTCTGAATGGAAAGCCAACGTAACATCATTCTCCTTGTCACGGTTTCTCTCTCACCCCAGTCCAGGGATGGGAGTTAAACCAAGCATTCAGCAACAATTAAACAAATCCCAGGAGAATGTCTGTACACTCTCCAGGCTTTACCAATAGTCACTGCCACCAGGATCTCTCACAAAAGGTCCCCACCAAAGATCAGGAGCAGAGATCCCAACTCCTGCTTGATTTATAAGACTTAGCACTTTACCAGCTCTGTACCAGGGCTGCAAACAATTAATTAATACAGTGGTAGCATCCTTAGGCGAACATCTTAGACACAAGATTCAGTCTTAGAAATCAGGTTGCAACAGGGGAAACAAGTCCAGATAATATTGATTATATATTATCTTTATTCAGTGCAAAAGCATGCACATAACATGAGACTAGCAAAAGATAAGAAAACAAATGATATCTATAGCTTGTTCAGCTATAACTACACAATAGAGGTATTCCATAGTTACCAGGCTTTTAGAGGTATCAGATGATTCAGTGTGCAAATAGTCCAAGGTCTCACCAGGGAATCTTGAAAAGGAACCCTATGGTGCTGTGGGCAGCTAAGTCCAGCTTGGCTGCCTAGTAGTACAACTCCATGTTACAAGCAAACAGCCAGTCCAAAAGAACTCTTTGTTTCCAGAGAGGAACTCCTATTTTCCCATATGGATTATTGCAATTATACCCCTTCTGTCACCACCAGGTATGGCCATTACCCTATAGTGAGAGAGTGGGGAGGCGTGTCCAATCTCTGGTTACCATGCGTTGCTAGGCAAGGTATATTTTGATTGGCTAGGAGTTGGGCATCCTGTCTGCAGTTCAGTTGCTTCAACTCCATCCTCTTCAAGTGTCTATGTGTCATGTCAGGGAATGCTTTTGATGTGCTAATGTACTGGGCATAGCTCTTTCCCATGCTTGGGAAGGCGCCTACATGTCTCTCTGCCCTGGCAAAGGTATCAAAGTGTCTTGTGTATGGATATGAGGCCTGGCCATCTGGCAGGCCATCTGCACAGGTGACAAAAATCACACGGCAGTGTCACCAGCTAAGGCCATTTGGCCCAGGCTGGAAGAATTCAGAAAATACTTTTTCTGTGCACTCCTCTTCTCCATTTTATCTTCACAACAAGTACCCTGTGAGAGAATAACTGGCATATCCTCACCCAGAAAACATTCGTGGCACAATAGGGATTTGAACCGGAGGCTCCCAGATTCTATATATATATACTGGCTCTGTGTAAAAGTATGTGTGTGTGTTTGGCTTTATTTTACAGGGATGTCACTTCCTCTGTCTGCTGATTCCCTCAGGACTCCTTTAGATTCTCCTCAGCAGCAGAACACATCACTCCATCCACATGGAAACAGACATGAAGACATAAGAAATGGGACAAAAATCTCTTTACCGTCGAATTCGGCACACTCAGGTACAATAAAGACAAGAATGTAAGGGTTTTTTTTTAAAAAAAAATCCCCATCTTTAATGAACTGATACACCGAAGTGGTTCTTGGTCTGCTTTGACCACATCCACATTATCAGTGTATCTAATTCTCAACATGGCCCCATCTGTGGATACTTAAATCTAGACATAACAGCCATGAACAGACAAGACAGTCTCTATACAAACCTGAGGAAAACCCCAGGGTTTCAAAAAAATCTGGGGAAAAAAATTACCTGGAGGGTTGAAACCCTCTAAAATAATAGAAGGAGTACCTGTACCTTTGAGAAACAAATGTCTTCTACAGTGGCTGTTGTGGCGGTTTCTAGGCAACCACAACAATATTTGTTTGTCAGTAAAACTTAGAGGGGGGGGGCAGGGTCCTTTCCAGGCCTTTGAGGGGAGAGTCTTACTGCATTGCTTCTACTTTTGTAATTATATATTTTTTGCATTGGTTGTGACCAGTGTTCCCTCTAAGCTGAGTTAGTGTGAGCTAGCTCACAGTTGTTTAGCCTCCGGATCACGCATTTTTGTCTTCGCTCAGGAAGGGTGGCTCCAGAGCAAACTAATTTATGCAGTAGCCAAATCGCTCGCTCACAACTTTAATGCCAGTAGCTCGTAAAGTAGAATTTTTGCTCACAAGACTCCACAGCTTAGAGGGAGCATTGGTTGTGACATATTGTGCCTAATGCTTTGTAATCCTTGTCCTATTGCACTGTTTACTGAGTGTCTCATGCTATTAAATTGCATTGTTTCACACTGTGTAATCTGCTTTGAGTTTCAGCAAGAAAGGAAAGCTATATAAATATGGTGAATAAATAAAATGCATAGGACCAGTACATTTGTTCTTTCATGCTGTGAAGTTTCTAATTACATGATTTCTAGGCCACAGATGTTCAGAAGAAATAAAAAACCTCTTTCCTGTGGGCCCTCAGTAGGGTTGCCAAGTGGGACTTACCTTGCCGGCGGGGGACTCCCGGGTGGATCCCGGCGCGCGCCGCATGCATGTCACAGGGAAGTGACATGACACTGGGAACGCTGGGGGCGGGGCTACGACCATACAAGGGAAAACCATAGAGTTTTCCCTTGTATGGCCGTGGCCCCATGCCCAGCGTCATAACGTCACTTCCCTGTGACGCGCACGCCGGGGCGGGGTTCCCCCCGGGGCTGGATTCCCCGGCGTCGGGGAATGGGTCTCTGGGGCGGGGGTTTCTCCACCCCCCAGGGGGACTTGGCAGCCCTAGCCCTCAGGCCTGTATAAATAGTCGATCCCTAATAGCTTTCATTTAAACTGGTTTCAGATCCTGTTTTGAAAGCAGACCCAGACTGTCCTCCTTTGAGTCTACCTCCAGCTTCCATTGACCTTCCACATTCTTTACATTCAAATCCTCCTGCTTCATCAAGTGTTAAGGTAAACCTTGAAGAGAAATTGCTGGGGGGGGGGGGACTGTGGCTCAGTGGTAGAGCATCTGCTTTGCATGCAGAAGGTCCTGGGCTCAATCCCTGGCATCTCCAGTTAAAAGGACCAGGCACTAGGTGATGTGGAAGACCTTTGCCTGAGTCCCTGGGGAGCTGCTGCCAGTCTGAGCAGACAGTACTGATCTTCATAGACCAACGGTCTGATTCAGTATAAGGTAGCTTCATGTGTGTTTGTGTGTCTTCATGTTTTAGCATATCCTTGGTTTGGTAGCCAAGTATCTGCAGGACTGCCTTTCCTATTACTAATCCATGTGATAGTGTAACTCCCTGAACCAACACCTATAGATTTATTCTTTCTGTAGCGTAGTTAGGATGGCCACGGCTAAATCTAGCATTTTTAGTGACTGCTTCTATTTTACGGCATTGCCTTTTTGAAGTTGTCAGGAAGACTTCAGCTTTGTTGAGATTCTGCAAGTTGTGCAAGGAAGAATTATTCAGGAGGAATTTCGATACTGGTAGCTAATTTTTCATTACATCTGTTTGTTAGCCTTTATGGAGTGCTCATTTTATGTTGTTTTTATTATTATCGTAACACTCTCTCTGATGCTCGTTTCAGAGAAGGGGCAGGCTAAAAATGCTCCAAATAAACAGATGAAAATATAAACTATGAAGAACCTTTGGTTTGTAAACACTTGCCTCACATGCTCATTAGGAAGCCAGGATCCGCTGTAGCTCTCTGCTGATTTGACTCTCAGTGACACACTTTTGATTTGCCACTGTGTAGTATGTGTGTGTGTGTGTGCCTTTGCAAGAGTCCCGAGATCTATGCACTTCTTGAAAAGATGCCTTTGTTGATAGCAGCATACAGAATCTACTCTCAAATTTGATTTACTCTGGTGAAATATCACCATTGTCTTGATTTGCATAAATTTGATAGGTTACTGAAACCCAGCAATTCTGTGGCATAACGCAAAGTTGTGTGTTTAAAGAGAATTTATCTCTAAGGTAGTTGTTGATTGAGGTTAGTGAAAGGAAACCCAAAAAATGAATACAGGGAAACCATAAAGAAACAATAGCCTGGTATCTTAGTACCATTTCCTGTCATAGCCTTAAGCTTCTTGACAGGAAAGTTGTGCAATAAGCCACAAAAACAGATTGGCAGAGTTTCCTAGAAGAGAAAGGCAAAGGTTGGTGCTCTGACCCCACCCTGCCAATGGCTTCTTCTAAGACTCCAAGAAGTCCTGGTACTGTATGTTAATTTGAGGCCTGTCTTCTCACTACACTTGTGTTAGTCATTTTTTTCTTCTTCTCATGGATATGTATGTTAGTATTTCTGTGTTTTGACATCGGACTTTAATACAGCAGTTTAAGATTTATGTCTCAAAAACTGAGCAAAAACCTTTTGGATTCACTTGTGAAATAAAGCTACTCTTTCTGTGTCATCTGGATGTCATTTCACCTATTGCGTTATGATTTTGGGACCACTAAAGTTAGTGGGATGATGGGGAAAAGCTGTGAAATGGCATTATGCAGAAGCAAGTACCGGGGGCGGGGGGCGCTCCTCAATGGCTTTGCCACAGTGTCAAACTGATGGTCCTTTCAGTTTAATATGAAAAATGGAAAGCTGCTTCTCCTTTACCTTGCACATATATTGCAATGGCTGACAGTTTTAAGACCTGCCTCTTCCTCCTTTCTGTAGGGTTCTCTCCAGCTTGGGAAATTCCTGGAGATTTGGGGCAGTACCTGTGGAAGGCGGTGTTTGGGAACGGAGCTCAGTTAGGGGTGTGATGCTATAGTCCACTTGTTCCAAGGAAACTGACCTTCATGTTCAAGAGATCAGTTTTCATTCCAGAAAACTCCAAGCCACAACTTGAGGTCGATAATCCTACCTCTTTGCCTTACCTTGTCGTGTTGTGCAGCCGTCAGTGTTTTTCTTGCAGCCTGGCTTTAACACTAGAAATGAACTGGGCTGGAAGAAAAGTTCTGAAATGCAGCAAGGTAAAGCAGGGGCTGGGGGAAGTATGGTTTTGATTCCCTTCCTTATACACAGTTTTTTAATAAGAAAAATACCCTACACACACACAACTTTCATGTGTATGTGTGCATTACACCCTGCCCAAGCCCTGCCCTTCCCAGGCTCCGCTTGCAAACTCTCGAGCTGGCAACCCGACATTTCATTCAGAAATAGACACGACTCAAGCAACACTTATAACATGAGAACAAATCTGAAATAAAATGTGGTCCAAAATATATTTTACATGTCTTCATTGACTTGGCAGCTGGTTAAACAATACTACCATCGATGTTTCATTTCCTTAGAGACTTCTCAGCTGTTCCAAACGTCTGAATAGAAATGGTGGTAGAAATGGTTAGAGTCTCAAAGGGCAGCTCTACTGTTAAGCTGTTTTAAGGGTGAATGTATTGCAGCCATGCCTTGTGGTCTGACTTCTGTGCTAAGGGGCAAATTTCTCATGATATCAGGGTTGCCAACCTCTAGGTAGGGCCTGGAAATCTCCTGCTATTAGAGCTGATCTTCAAACAGTAGAGAGCAGTTCCCCTGGACAAAATGGCGGCTTTGGAGGGTGGACTCTGGCACTGTACCCCACTGAGGTCCCTCCCCAAACCATTCCCTCCCCAGGCTCCACCCCCAAAATCTCCAGGTATTTTCCAACCCAGAGCTGGCAACCCTACATGCTATTGTTCCAGGGAAATTGTTCCCAGAAGTAACAATGTAGTGTCTTTTCTGTGACATCCCCTAGGTGTGCAGTTCATCTACTCCTCAGCAGGAATCGCTTCAAAATCTCCCTAGTAGGAGCCTCGTGTGGACCAAGGATGAAGTTGAAACTGCCACTAATGGTTTCAGTGAGGAGAACCGAATTAATGAAAGCATGTTTGCTGATGCTTACAGAGGCCAAAGGCAAAATGCTCTGTATGTTGTTAAAAGACTAAAAGAGGTAAGTATCTTTCTTCCCTGAGTCATTTTTTCCGTTTTTCAATAGAAAAGCTGAGAAATTTGGGAGTAGACCGGGGAGACATAATGAAATATTTGAAATGAATGAAATGCTCTTTAAGAGAAGGTTTTACTTATCAAAATGTTTAGCATGAAAAAGTCTCAGCACTTTTTTCAATTTTGTTATTGAAAAAAAGTAGGAAGAACTGAGAGGTAGACTGGAAAAAAAACACTTATGAAATTATTTAGTTTAGAATGAGTGGGATATAGCATAGATATAGCAGTTCACAACTTTCACTTTAGTGTGTATTTGCAGTTTTGCTTGCAGGAAGCTAAGGTATTTATACTTTTAAATTACATAAATATGCCAATTAATACAATTTTATACACTAACAACATTATAAATGATGCATTTTATGTAGATAAAGCAGCATAATAGATTCCAGGCTTGATAGGGGAAAAATGTATTGCACATATTTCAATTTCTCCAGGGGGAGAAAAGGACATTTCCCCCCCTCCATGGCTTAAATTGCTAGTAAGGGGTTAAACTCTTCAATCTGTTTTGCTGATTGAACCTCCTACCCCCATTGTTAGAATTAGCATCTTTTAAAAATGTATCTTTTCCCCTTTCATGCACTAATAATGACATGCTATGGGGATCCATTTTAATTAGCAAAACCATGCAGACACAAAGCTTAATCCCCTTTTTACCCTCTCATCATGGTCCCAGTAAACATTTGCATGCTTTTTACAGATGACTGTGAATGACTCAGCATGTTAGTTTATTGTAGCAAAATAAAAAGTCCAATAGCACCTTAAAGTCTAACACCATTTATTTCAATATGATCTTACGTGACTGACAGCTTACTTCTTCAGATAGGTAATGTGAAGGAATTCCTCTTTACAGGGAAGATTATGGGGGGAAATTCCATTCAGAGATCCGGCATTATCTTTGACATATCCTGAATTTCCATATTGAATTCTTGAGATTTTTGCTCAACCCCTTCCAAATTCTGGAAACCCTTTCCTTCCCCATGCACTAGGATTCTCTAGGTTTAGATAAGATTTCCTTTGCTATCATTGCCATAATTAATCGTGCTGTATGTGTTAGGACTTGGCCTGAACCTAGCAAGGAACTCCTCACCAGAAGTAATTTGAACCTGTTGATAATTTCTGGATATTTTCAGATTCTTTCCAGACAAGAATGAATGAGGTTTATGCATCCTAGGCTAGACATGAACAGTTTCAAGTATTAGCCTTGTTTAGGGAAAATTATTTTTTTAAAAATTACATGTATTCCCCATGCTTCTTTCATCGTGGAACTCAAGAAGCCAGTTCAGTTATGATTCTCAGGTCATCTCTCACCTAAATACTGACCAGAGCAGTAGCTTAGCTCATTGGGGTTGTTGCATCTTCTGTTTTTCAACCATGTCCTTTAAAAGCACTGGAATTCTACTTTGTAAGGTTGGGCAGCCACTTTAATGAGTCTGAGTGAGATTTCTATGAGGTTGATGTGCTGATTAAAAATAAGAGAATTAAAGTACCAAACATATCACAAGTATTCATAACAGCTTCAATGTGGAAGCTTTTGAAGCTTTAGTTTGCAATGAGAGCTTGAGCATTTACTTAAGGCTTAGGTTTTCAAAATATGCATATATTTGTCATAGAAATAAAGTCGAGTCTTTGGAAAAGTAATTCATGTATCCTTCCTTATGCCTGTTTTAAACAGAAGGAGTGTGCAAACCAGAATCAGACACAAAGATTTTTTCATACTGAAGTGCAGATCTGTTTTCGGTAAGTTGATTGGTGGTGAAAGAGATCTGTGCAAATGGGTAACTTTATTTTTTCTAATAACATAAGCTTGCCTTGAAAGCGTTGCTTTGTTTTTGAACATTCTTTCTTTTTTAAAGCTGTAGCCCCATGAGGCATCAAGCTTTGCAGTCTCTACAGAATTTTGTGCACATGGAAAACATGCCACTAGCTTCAATAAAAGCATAAGCACCAAGGAGCTTTTTTTTTTTTTTTGCATTTCCTGTGTCTGTACACAAACACACCCACACACGCAGACAAGATAACAAAATGGAGAAAGATGTAAATGGCAGGATAAAAGGGCCATAAAATATAGGAAGACATAAAGTAAAGGTAAAGGTTCCCTTGCTCGAAAGCCATTAGAATCCGACTCTAGGGTTGTGGTGCTCATCTCCATTTCAAAGCCGAAGAGCCAGCGCTGTCCGAAGACGTTTCCATGGACATGTGGCCGGCATGACTCAACACCAAGGTGCACGGAACGCTGTTACCTTCCCATCGAAGTGGTACCTATTTATCTACTTGCAATTTCTTGCTTTTGAACTGCTAGGTTGGCAGGAGCTGGAACCAGAGACGGGAGCTCACTCCGTCATGCGGCAACCCGGGTCTTGAACTGCTGAACTACTGACCTTCCACAGCCTGCAGTTCAGTGTCTTAACCACTTGAGCCACCACAGCTCCACAGGAAGACATACTTAGGTTTAATTCAGATGTAATCGAGAAAAGTACACAGACCATTCACAACACTTCCTCATCTTTTCCTATGAAGAGACCATCCCTATTCTAAAAGTAAAGTGTACTGGGATTCCCCCTGGGAAAACCTAATTCTCTGAGCACATGAGAATTTCCATCCAGCAAACAAGAGGAAAGCCCCTGTTACACTTAGGGAATGCAAGTGTGCGTGCAAATCCTCTAGATCACAGCTATTGTCTTCATGTAAATTCACCATTTGGACTATCTAATATGCTTCAGTTTACTTCTAATTTAGTAGTACAGTTGTGGGCTCATCATACTAACAATCCAGATTCAGTCAAGGCAGACAAGCTGCTGGGAAGTGATCCCCCGCCACATGTCACGCACACTCCACTTCACTTTGAAAGCAAATTGAATACCCAGTTGGGTTGTTCATTTCTATGCTCAGGGAGGGCCAGTGGGGAAGCGAGAGGAAATATGAGAACTTGAGGTCTGCTCTCATTCTCATTTCAAGTTGGGAAGAGGTGGGGTGGGGAGTTAACATAGGAAAAGTCCCAGAATTAGTAAACTATCCTGTTAACCATGATGAGTAGCTAAACTGTGCAAGTGGGAAGAGGTATAATTGTTTAAATAGTCTCATTTTAGTATTTTGAGTTGTGTCTGTTCATTTTCCTCACATGATATATGTTCAAATGTCACGTAGGTGCTGTCATCATAACATTCTAAATCTTCTGGGCTTCACTATAGAAAGTGAATTGCACTGCCTAATCTACCCATACATGCATAATGGGTCACTGACTGACAGATTACAGTGCCAGGTAAGCAGAAATGTCACAAATTGAGTCTGAAACTTGTGGGTTGCCTTGTCTTAAACGTTCTTATTATGTGCTGTATTAATGTTGCATTCTGGCTGCAGAGAGGAGGAGAGGGACATGGGACCCAGACACCAGCCAGAGGAGGAAATGATGCAGGGGAATCATCTCCTCTTCCAAGGACACTGACTACGGTAGATCAGCCTTGCCCTAGCTGTTAGTTAGTGTAGCAAAAAACAAACAAAGGAGTGTATGTTTTCTTTGCTACACCAGAGGCCTAAGAGTGGCTGGAAGACTCTCGCCTGTATAGGAAGAATTCTGCTTAAATAGCGTCATGCTCCAACTCCCAAGGGATGGAGCCCAGGGCTCTTGCAGCCTCCAGTGCCCTTTCTCAGCAGGCCACAAACAATGCCTCAGTCATTTGGAGAGGAGAGGGGTTCTGTCTCACCATAGCCCCTCTCTCCCTTGCTCTACTCTTCTCTCCTAACTGCAAGACAGAGGTATGGCGCATCCACCGTGGCTACCTTGCTTCCTGCATGTTAAAGCAGGGTGTCAAATATGCGGCCCGAGGGCCGGATCAGGCCCCTGGAGGGCTTCTATCAGGCCCGCAGTGGAACTGGCTGTCTTCTGCTTCTTCTTCCAGTTCTGCTGCTGCTGCATCAGTGTAGGTTTGCAGCTTACAGATACATACCTGAACAGCATACTCAAGATTGCAACAGCACAGACATTTTGATGCAATAATTCAGAGCAAGAGGTGGCAGTTATCAGACACTGTTAAATAAAATATTGCAAGAGTGCTAATGTTTTAAGCATGTGTTTATTTTAAGTAAAAACATACCTTTGTGTTTATCTCTGCTACCTGGCATTACATTTTATGACACACATGGCCCGGCCCAACAAGGTCTCATTTATGACAGATCTGGCCCTAATAACAAATGAGTTCGACACCCCTGTGTTAAAGGCTCTCTTGTGAGTGAGGCAACCCTGGGCTTGTTTAAAGGCCCCTGAAAGAGGGTGTGGTCCTGATGGGTGTGAGTTACAGAGGTGGTTGTGTTCCCAGCCCAGGTCTTACCTTTCTGCACCTCCTCCTCCTCTGCTACTTTGGAGGGCCTGTGTCAACCTGAGAGGGGTGGGGACACTACTGGTCTCACCCATGGGGATCACCTGTGGGTGTGGCTCAGTGGCAGAGCCCCTCCTCCTCCTCTCTGTGCTGCACCCTCCACCCCTTCCTAGCCTGCTTTCAGGTGGGGCTTCTACCAGTGGCTTGCTGTAGTTGTTCCAGGCCATGGCCTTACTAGGAGTAGGATATAAATTGAAATAATATTGTTGAGCTGTTTTCATAAGACCTTGTCTCCAAACATTTCTACTGACTCATGTTTTTCTTAAGAGTTAACTTGGGAAGGCCTCTTTTTGTCTCTTACCTGATACACATCTTCCTGGTCCATTTACCTTTAGAATAATAGAGAAAAGCCTCTTGTGTCTATGCTAGGTATTGGGAAGAAAACTGCAGCCACTGTATAGGTAAAATATTTTCTGCTTTTTAGTTTCTAGTTTGGTTTATGCTTTGGTATGACTTCAAAGAGCCACACAACTGGTTCTGTGTACATATCTCTTTATTTTGTTCAGGGGCTAATAATGGGAAGATTTAAACCCCTTCTCCTCCCATGCCACAACCTTAAGCCAGTTTCCCTCACCCTGGCTGCAATTTCCATTTTAAAAATGCTGGGAAGATCCAGTCACAGATCTTCCAGCCAGTCATCTGGCTTGGCTCTCAGTGGTGTCTGTTTGGGGCTGGGTTAGGGTTGCCAGGTCTGGGTTGGAAAACGCCTGGAGGCTTTGGGGGTGGATCCAGGAGAAGGTGGGCTTTGGGGAGGGGAGGGGCCTCAGCACGGTACAATGCCATAAAGTCCACCCTTCAAAGCAGCCATTTTCTCCAGGGGAATTGATCTCTGTCACCTGGAGATCAGTTGTAAAAGTGGGAGATCTCCAGGCCCCACCTGGAGGCTGGCAACCATAGGCTGGGTTAACTTTGTTGGTTGTTTGAAAAGGAAATATAGCAATTGTTTGAGTTCATTTACTACAACATAATTATGATGAATAATCATCAATCTAATTTGTACCTTCTATCTGGTTACGATAGGTCATATAAATAGTTTATCAGGCCTAGTTACAACTTCTAAAATGTAATTAGTTTCTAGACAGGAGATCATGAAATCATAGCATACAATACATAACAGTATTGTTGATTATATGGAGAAAAAAATATCTTCTAACTAGTTAATTATTTGATTGCTGCGTCAGTCCAGCATGAGATTCCAGTATTCATTCATCAGAGAATTTGTCCCTGTGGCGACCTCCTATTTGGGAGGACTAGTTTTCCCTTTAAATGTGCTCTTTACTTCTGTAAACTGGGTAGATTCGGCTGCCACCAGGAATTTAAGGATTTCCAAACCTTCTCTGTTTCTCTTACTGGTAGGGTAACACAGGGTTTAGGCTTTTCAGGATCTAATGTGGTCCTGAGGAAGAATTGATATGACTTCTGGGATATATTTAAATAAAATAGGATTTATTGAAAGAGGAACAAAACAAGAGGTTGGTTATTATGTAACTGGCTGGGAATAAGGTTCGTATAAATATATTTGTCAACTGTATCACACATGTCAGTTTTAGTCCTGACAGGAATCTCTCACTTAGGCGACCACACAGTTTAATCTCTTGGTAAATTTAACTTCTTTAAGAACTTTAAAGATTCACTATTGAAGATATATGCTGCTCTCTCAGATACCACAAAGAACAAACTGAACTCTCACTCTGAACAACCTCAACTGAACTTTTTTAACTCCACTGCTTTCTCACTAACTGACTCTCCTGTCTTTCATAACAGACACTCTGACACACCCACACAGATCCACTTCAGAAACCCCTCCCACACTCTGTCATCCACCAATCACAGCACACTTCTCTCTCCCAATCATTCTAGTCTGCTAACACCATGCACTTCAATCAAGCATTAAAAGGCACACACACTCTCATAAAACAAGGAATCGTTACAGTCCCATTTTATTGTTTACTGCCATGCAGATAGACACATTGGTCTTGCAGCCCTTGAAAGGATAAAGAGCCACTTTTCCTTCTGTTGCAGGGTGGTTCTGAACCATTAACCTGGGAAAAACGCATTAGAATCGCTATTGGACTTATTCAAGCTATTCAGTATTTACATAATTTTGGAATTCTTCATGGAAATGTGAAAAGGTAGGGAGCTGTTTTAAAAATCTTTTTCATTCCATTTTAAATATAAACCTATGAAACTATTGTGGGAGTTGGGAAGCCCTACTGGGCATGTCATGTAGGGTTGCCAGGTCCCCCTTGGCCATCGGTGGGGAGATAGGGGTTGTACGGTTTCCCGCTCCAGGTTGGGAAACTCCTGATGATTTGGGGGTGGAGCCTGGGGTGGACAGGGACCTCAGTGGTGTGCAGTGTCATAGAGTCTACCCTCTAAAGCATCCATTTTCTCCAGGGGAACTGATCTCTGTTGTCTAGAGATGAACTGTAATTCCAGGGGGTCCCCAGGCCCCACCTGGAGGCTGGCATCACTAGGCATTTGACTTGTGCTGGGGAATGTGGATGGAAGGAGCATTAGCTTCTCCAGGAAGGATGTGGTGGTGGCAGCAGGGACATGGGGTGCTCCCCCACCCCAATTCTGTGCAGAGTCCACTGCCTAATCTTGCCTCATTGTAATTTGCATTGCTTTATAGCATGTTAAAATCAGTTGTGAACAAGTTGGGTCCCATGAGGAATTGCAGGGTATAAGAGAATGAATGGGAAATCCCCCCTGCAACCCAAACCACTTTCTCTAGCATACTACAATCCAATCCAAATACCTTTATTGGCATAAAAAGAAAAAAGGTCCAACATGGCCAGTTTACAGAAAATTTCAGTTATAAAAACCATCAAGCATCACATAAAAGAGCTAGACGTTTGCTCCCTGATTGCTATGGCAACCAGAAGGCACCTTGCAACTGAACTTGTAATGTGGGAACATTGGTCAGATAGTAAAAGAGATACTAACTTTGCCTCGGGTAGACCGTGAAAGTTAGACACAATAGGTTTAATTATACAGTCCTGCACTTCCTCATAAAAATCACAATGAAGTAGAACATGGGCTACCATGTCTGGGTGCCTTCCTTTACATGGGCAAAGTCTTTCTTGATAGGGAGTGTTGGCAAACCTCCCAGGCACTACCGCTGAGGGTAAAACAGTAAATCTTGCTAACAAAAAAGAATGGCATAACTGGGGTGAGGTAATGTGGGAAAGGTAAGCAGCAAGCAGTCCATATTCTGGAAAGATACCAAAATGCTAAAGGGGAGCAGGTTTTGTGTTCAAGAGAACAGATAGTCTGTTTCTCGATATCTAGGATCCTCTGTTTCAAAATTCTAAATGCCTGCATTTCATTTAACATGCAGCGGTTGTCCAAAGAGACGTCTATAGAATGAATTTTCTTCTGGATCTGACAGTACCAGTTGGAAACAAAAGAATCAGCTAGCATCATATGGATATAGCTAGCAGGTTCCGCTCTAAAGTGTAGGCGTAGCCAAAACTTTAGGGTTAATAGCCATGCCCTAGTCTCAATCAGATGCATACCAGTCTCTAAGCACATTGTAGCATAGCTGACACAGTTGGGGACCCCCAAAATACGGCGTAAGAACGTTGCCTGGATTTGCTCAAGTTGGGTATTGAAGGCACTAACCCAAATGGGGATCCCATATAATAGCTGAGAGATTGTTTTGGCATTAAAGACAAGAATGGCAGCTAGGACAAATTGATTGCCCTTCTTATAAAAGAAACTAACCACCGTGGATGAACTGCACCTTGCTGATATGACTGCTCGCTTGTGTTGTTCTGTCCAATTATGGTTGTATTGAAAAGAAACCCCCAAATATTTAAAGGATTTCACTTGTTCCATATTATTTCCTTTGACACGCCAGCTTTGTGGTTTCCAAGACTTTGAGAATACTAAAACTTTGGATTTTGCATAGTTTATGGACAGAAAATTTGCCTCACAATAGGAGGAGAAGGCAAGCAAGAGACGCTTGAGACTCTTCTGTGTGCTTGATAATATAACAGCATCATCAGCATAAAGGAATAACATGTGACCCAAGTTCAGGGGAATGACCATCAATAATATTTAGGGAGGGAGCCAAATCATTCAGGAATGAATTAATCAGGTAGGGGGCTAAAATACAACCCTGTTTGACTCCCCGGTTGGCGGAGATTTTTGAAGTTAATCCATCTGGGCCATTGTACCGCACTTGACAGCTATTAGAGGAATACATTTTACGAATAAGGAAAAGTAAGCATTTATCTAGACCCATGTTATCTAAAGAAGGTCCCTGGAAATGGAATCAAAGGCCACATTTAAATCAAGGAAGGCTGAAAACAGCCTTCTCCCCCCTGTACTACTGTATTTCTCTATCAGATGGTCGACAGTTATAGAGTGATCCAGAGTAGACTTGCCAGGGCGAAATCTGATCTGTTCCCTACTTGGGAGGTTTTGCTTTTGCATCCAGGAAATGAGTTTTTCCAAAAGGTGTCTCACATATAATTTGCCTGCTATATTGAGCAGACTAATTGAGTGGTAGTTCTCCAGTATTTGCGGGTCTCCCTTCTTATAAATCGGGACAACAATGGAATTTGTCCATGAATCAGACAAGTTCCCTGTTTTATCAATCATGGTAAAGAGAGTTGCCAGAGGAGGTGCCCACCAGTCAGAATTGTTTTTAAATAGTTCTGGAGGGAGTCCATCTGGTCCTGGAGCCTTCCCCACCTTCAACTAGTTAATTAGGTGGTTAATCTCTTTAGGACTGACAGGTGACCATTCAGGTAAATCAGAGGGGATTTGTTCATAGCATACTATAAACTGTTAGGGGCTCAAGCATGACAATTCCACCCCACTTTTCTCCCCTAACCCAACTAACATTCAACAGAACGTGACTCGTAGAGGCCAGTGTGCATGCTCTAGACTTGTCAGGCTATTTTTGTTTTAGTTCACAAACTAATATTATGTAACTGGCCAGGGAGGCAGTGGGGCCCTTGGATGACCAAGGGGTAAAAGGAGTACTGAAGGATGATAGGGAAATGGCTGAGAAGCTAAATGCATTTTTTGCCTCCGTCTTCACTGTGGAAGATGAGAGGTGCTTGCCCACTCCAGAGCCGATGAGTTCGGGAGTGGTGTTGAAAGACCTGAGTCAGATTGAGGTGACGAGAGAGGAGGTCCTAAAACTGATAAACAACTTAAAAACTGATAAATCACCAGGCCCAGATGGCATACATCCAAGAGTTCTGAAAGAACTCAATTGTGAACTTGTGGATCTCCTGAAAAAAATATGTAATCTCTCCTTAAAATCAGCCTCCATTCCTGAGGACTGGAAGGTAGCTAATGTCACTCCCATCTTTAAAAAGGGTTCCAGAGGAGATCCGGGAAATTACAGGCCTGTCAGTCTGACGTCGATACCGGGTAAATTGGTGGAAACCATTATTAAGGAAAGAATTAGTAGGCACATAGATGAACAAAACCTATTGAGGCAGACTCAACATGGGTTCTGTAAGGGAAGATCTTGTCTCACTAACCTGTTAATGTTCTTTGAGGGGGTGAACAAACATGTGGACAAGGGGGATCCAATAGATATTGTTTACCTTGACTTCCAGAAAGCTTTTGATAAAGTTCCTCATCAAAGGCTCCTAAGCAAGCTCAAAAATCATGGGATAAAAGGACAAGTCCTTTTATGGATCAAAAACTGGCTAATTAATAGAAAACAGAGAGTGAGTATAAATGGGCAGTTCTCCCAGTGGAGGGGTGTAAGCAGTGGGGTACCACAGGGATCAGTACTTGGTCCACTGCTTTTTAACTTGTTCATTAATGATTTGGAGTTGGGAGTAAGCAGTGAAGTGGCTAAATTTGCGGATGATACGAAGTTGTTCAGGGTGGTGAAAACCAGTGAGGATTGTGAGGCACTCCAAAGGGATCTGTCAAAGTTGGGCGAGTGGGCGTCAACATGGCAAATGGGGTTCAATGTGGCCAAGTGCAAGGTGATGCACATTGGAGCCAAAAATCCTAACTATAAATACACGTTGATGGGGTCTGAACTGGCAGAGACAGATCAAGAGAGAGATCTTGGAGTTGTAGTAGATAACTCACTGAAAATGTCGAGACAGTGTGTGACTGCAATAAAGAAGGCCAATGCTATGCTGGGGATTATTAGGAAGGGTATTGTAAACAGATCAGCCAATATCATAATGCCGCTATATAAATCAATGGTGCGACCTCATCTGGAATACTGTGTGCAATTCTGGTCACCACACCTTAAAAAGGATATTATAGCTTTGGAAAAAGTGCAGAAAAGAGCAACTCGAATGATAAAAGGGTTGGAACACTTTCCCTATGAGGAACGGTTAAGGCGCTTAGGGCTCTTTAGCTTGGAGAAACGACGACTGAGGGGTGACATGATTGAGGTTTATAAGATTATGCATGGGAAAGAGCAGGTAGAGAAAGAGGTACTTTTCTCCCTTTCTCACAATACAAGAACCCGTGGGCACTCCATGAAATTGCTGAGCGGTCGGGTTTGTCCTGGCCCCACTGGTGGACCTCCTGATGGCACTGGTATTTCTGGCCACTGTGGGATACAGAGTGTTGGACTGGATGGGCCTTTGGCCTGATCCAACATTGGCATCTCTTATGTTCTTATGTTCTTAATATTTTTCTGCATGTCTCATAGTCCCCCTTTGTGTTTTGAGGGACTCCATTTCACTTCCCTATGGAGAGGCATTTGACCATCAGCTTTGCTAGCGCAGGAAACCAGTTAGGGGCCTATGAGGAATAGTGTGAGAAAGGGGAACAAGCACATGTGCAAACAAGCTTTAGTGCAAGACAGCTTATCTCCTGGGCTGGATGAGTGGTTTCCTGCTCACCCAGCTGTGTAATCCTCAGCAGCCTAATGCTGTTAGTGTGATCGCTGTATAGTTTTGACTTGCAGTTTTAGGGACAGGTGAACAAGATCCACTCATGAATTTGAATGATGTAGCACCTGGCGGAAGGTATTTTTCACTTCAGAATCACTTTATTGTATGTGGCCATAGGCCTTCACAGTAGTATTTTTCACTTCCTTCTGGCTGTTCTGCAAGGAAAAGTTTGCAGGTGAGGTGCTTTATGTACTCCAGGATAATGTCGCCTGTTAAGGACCCAAGCAGGTCATTCTCACCTTTACTTATTTTCTCTCTCCCTCCCTCCCTCTCACTCCCTCCCTCTCCCTCCCTCTCTCTCTCCCTCTCTCTCTCTCTTTCTTTTTTTTATGCTCAACTGCCCCTCAGCTCCACAGCTCCTGGAAGGCAATGAATATGCTCAGTCTTCCTCAGGCTGCTTTTAGATAAAGATGGGTAGCCGTGTTAGTTTGTCTGTAGCAGTAGAAAAGAGCAAGAGTCCAGTAGGACTTTAAAGACTAACAACATTTGTGGCAGGGTATGAGCTTTTGTGAGTCACAGCTCACTTCTTCAGATAACTGCTTCACTGTTTCAAGCTGCTTTTGTTTGTTTCTTGCTATTAAGAGGAGTGGTGGGGAGGATTATGATGAATGGTTGCCAGTTTCTTTTTCCTTCATCTACCCCTATATTTGTTGTCTCTCACACACAGTTCCAATGTTTTGCTGGATGCCAACTTTGTTCCAAAGCTTGGACATTCTGGTCACAGATTGCAACCTGTGGAGAAAAAAACTGAGAATGGAGGGACAAAGACCAAAGTCATGCAAGCTTCCCTTGCTTACTTCCTAGAAGATTTCATTAGGCATGGGCAGCTAACTGAAAAAGTGGATATATTCAGCTGTGGAATAGTAAGTTTGTCCGTTTTTCTGCATTAACACTGTGAGACTCATAGAAGGAGACTAGCAACTGGGTGTACGGAGTACCAGGTATATTGTGTAAATAGCCTGAATGCCAGAGCCCTGGAAAGGGCTGGCGTCAGTGGCCCTCATTACAGAAGTAGCAGGTGGGTCTCCCTTTGAAAGGTGACTGTGCACGCTGGGCCAAGGGATGTTGAGGGAAGGGTTTACTATCCTGTGAGGGTCTCTTGCCATGTGTCCAGAGTTCCACAGCCACGGAGGTGCATGGAATATAAGCTTTATTAATTTTTGTCATGTCCAATATGATAGATACAAGCATATGCTTTAAAAGAAGCCAGAAATAGTTCTTTAGATCTCCAAAGGTAAAGAGTGAAGGTTTCGGTATCCCCCCTCTCAACTCCTTGCCTCTTCTCTGGCTATCAGGTGCAGGATTAATTAGGCAACATAAGCAAATGTGTCACCTTAGTATATCACCTCAAGACAGATGGTAGAGAATATTTCTAGCACAAAATGTACAGAACTTTGAATATAATAACTGCCCTGGACTAAATTTCTGCTTGATGCTTATGGCCGTTGAGCACAGAAAAATATATGAACAACATCCTGGCAACTAATATTCCTTTGATCCTACTGAATAATCTACTCTAAAGAGAGCAGTCTAATAGTTTTAAAACATGCTTTCTAGGTTCTAGCAGAGATACTGACTGGCATTAAGGCAATAGATGAAAGAAGGCATCCCATTTTCCTGGTAAGTGAAAAAGGGTTTTTTTGGTTTTTTTTAATGAGACAGAATTGAAGCAGGGTAGCTCAAAACAGGCGCTTTTCACCCTGGCCTAAAGAACATAATCCTTGTACCAAAATTTGTGTCTTCATAAAGACCTGCAGTATTGGGTGTGCAAAGTCTTGTCTGACACCAGCCTATTACATCTCCAAATCTGATGTTTCTTACACCCCATATTAGTCTCTCCTACAGCCACACTTGCATGTGCTAGGCACTGTGTATAGAATTGTCAATGCTTCATAGCTTGTTCAGAACCTTTGGGTTCCTATACTGCATGCCTGCTTCCAGATACATTCATCAGTGATAGCAAGTCACCTATCTGGTTCAGGAGTCTGAAAGTTGTTAGGAAAGGTTTCCCAAGCAAGACCCCTGGAAAGCAGGTAAGCCTGTCAAGGGAAGGAGTGATCATTTGCTTCTAGCAAGAGGCAGCTAGGAACTGTGGTTAACCTTCATCCACAGCTCATACAAGTGGGCTCTTAGTCTAATCAATGTTTATTCAACAAGCAGATAACAAACAACAGAGCCTGAGAACTATATAGAGCAACTGGATTTTACTGAGGTTTGAACAGACACAGAGAGATGAGATATTACCTAGGCTAGGTGTTGCAGCGTATGATTGGAGACTACCTGGGCATGAAAAGGCAAACCAGAGAAAAAGCTTCTGGCTCTCTTATACTTTCCCCCCTATACCCATGTTCAGTGTTCCCTCTAAGCTGAGTTAGTGTGAGCTAGCTCACAGCTTTTTAGCCTCTGTCTCACACATTTTTGTCTTAGTTTAGGAAGGATGGCTCTAGAGCAAACAAATTTATGCAGTAGCCAAACTGCTCGCTCACAACTTTAATGCCAGTAGCTCACAAAGTAGAATTTTTGCTCACAAGACTCCACAGCTTAGAGGGAGCATTGTTATAGGATAATTGTATGTCATGTTTCTACAGCAACAGGGGTGGGATGTACTCCTTACACATGTTTAATATTACATACAACAGCTATAAGATAAAGTCATACTGGGCCTCTTGCTCTTCTTTCTGGTCTCAAGCTGTACTCATACTAGTGTGGGCACTTTGTGTACTTCATGCCAATGTACTATAAACATTGTTCCTCTTTTAGGCAATGGACTTTAGACCTCTGGTAAACTTCCCCCGTGTGTCTTACATTCCATTGTAGGGCCTATCTCCGACACGCTTCAGCCCAAGAAGCAGTTTTTAGAGACCCAGAGAAGACAGGAAGATTCTATAGAGCAAAGATGGCTACACTTTAGTTTATATAGAGATCTTAAACTAAAATACATGGTTTGTTTTTATTTTCTAGCAAAGGTCCTCAAATTAAAAGGGTAAAATGGCTGAAGGGCAGACTGGTATGAAATAGAATTGTCTTGCAATAAACTAGTAAAACAGAAAACCCAGTTAGTATTTTTTCCACTTTCCTAAGCTTGCCATTTTTGCATAGCGTACTCCCCCCCCCCCCCAAGTAGCAACTGACTTATAATGACCCTGTAGGGAGAGACAAGGCAAGAGACATTCAGAGGTGGTTTGCCATTGCCTGCATCTGCATTGTAACCCTGCCATTGATAAGAACGTAAGAAGAACCCTACTGGATCAGACCAATGGTCTATCTAGTCCAGCATCCTGTCTCACACAATGGCCAACTAGTTCCTCTGGAGGGCCAACAACAGGGCATACAGGCCGAGGCCTTCCCCTGAGAGCCAGTTTGGTGTAGTGGTTAAGTGTATGGACTCTAATCTGGGTTGAAGACTGGACAAATACAAAAGAGACAGACCATCTGCATTTCTCTCTTTTTTAACAGAAAGATGCCCTCCTTGATGAAATCCAGGTGGCCAAGGAACTATCCTGCTCTAAGAAAGGAACCTTTGAAAACCTAGCTGCTAAAGAAATATGTCGCAAGTATCAAGACAGGAAAGCACTCCACTGGCCGGCAACGTCTGCCATTTGTTTGGCTACCGCGGCCTGTGTGTGTTTGCGGAAAAAGAATCCTGATATGGCAGAGGTAAGCATGGCAACTCCCAACTCCTCTCTGATATCACGGCTTCACTTCTCAGTCCTGCAGATATGTGCAGCAACATCAACAAAGATCTGCGCCGCTGCCAGTATTTTGTACATAGTAAACTGGGATGAAAAAGGAAGGTGGATAGTTAGTATATATGCAGCCATTTAACATGGGAGACCCAGGGCTATTTTTGGGCAGGAACGCACAGGAACAAAGTTCCGGCTGGCTCCTGAGATGGCCACGCCCAGCAGGAACTCATTAGCATAACAGGCCACGCCCAACAGCAGAAAACTCATTAGGATTGGGTACATTCAGGGTGTGTGGCCTAACATGCAAAGGAGTTCCTGCTACAAAAAAAGGCTCTGGGTTTTGACAACAAACAAGGTAAACAGAATAAGAAGCAAAAGGTGGGTATGGCTGGATGACCACACTTCTGGTAACATGGGGGTGTGGCCTAATATGCTGATGAGTTTCAGCTGTTAGGTGTGGCCTATTCTAATGAGTTCCTGCTGGGCTTTTTCTACAAAAAGAGCCCTGGGGAGACCTGAGGTAAAACCCCCACTCAGCCATGATGCTATTGTTGAGCCTGTCATATTCTCAGCCTGACCCAAAGGGTAGTGTGAGGTGGGGGAGAAATATGGAAGAATGGGAAAAAATAGGATCGATATTTTCTAGCATGCTGTTACACAAGCGGGATGCTACTGAAGAGCCCTATTTCTGGTAGTCACCTACCTTCTGGAGGTGTGGAAACTTGGAGAAGTACCTCTGAGGATGGTCTTAGACTTAGAGCATTAACACTTGTTTCAACAGGTAAATGCATTTATGGAAATGGCAGATCATCAGTTACAATATCGGAAGATGTCTGAAGGAAGAGAATATCCTGGACTGTCTCTCAACATCCCTGAAGAAACCAACGATGAACCAGCCAGCCCCTTCAATGATGGCTTTTCAGATGACAATTATGATGGCAGCATGAATGCTGAGTCGTTGAACTGTGTGGATTTGTTACCTCCATTGATCAGAGTCATGTCTCCTGAAACATACTCTGAGCAGAGATTGCGGGTCCCTTGTGAGTCCGATGAATCAAGTAACTTTTCTTGGGATCCTATGGGGGATGTTGCATACCAGCCACCAACCAATGGCCTTCCAGGTCCAGAAAATGTTTCCCCCATAATGCTTCATGCAAATGATCCAGAATACGATGATGATGTCACAGCAAAATCTGTAGTCTCAGAGAAACATATTCCACCTCAGGAAGCAGCTGTTTCTTCAGAAGGAACTTTCTTAAATATAGAAAATTCTGGTGCTACCTGTTCTTCACAAGGTAAAGCTTTTAAGTATTCTTTTAAGAATATCTATTGAGTATTTCTTACTGAGGCAACCAATTTTCAAAATATCCCATGAACTGAAAGGTGGTAGCTAAGTTCTGTATTTAGTGGCATGTGATTAACATAATTTGGGGGGGGGGTGCCTGTGTGATTATCTGTCTATGTACCCATACACACATCCATAGTTCCCTCTAAGCTGAGTTGGTGTGAGCTAGCTCACAGATTTTTAGCCTCCGGCTCACACATTTTTGTCTTAGCTCAGGAAGGATGGCTCCAAAGCAAACTGATTTATGCAGCAGCCAAATCGCTCGCTCACAACTTTAATGCCAGTAGCTCACAAAGTAGAATTTTTGCTCACAACACAGCTTAGGGGGAACATTGCATACAACCCTTGAATCAATTCTTAGAAAAGAAAGTTGGCATAGATTTGCAGTGAGATTGAAAAATAATAATTTGGGAAACCTGTTACATCTCATTCCCATTCTTTTCATCGACTTGCCATTACGTTTTTTATATGAATAATTGAAGCCGCTTTATATGAAATCAGACTATTGGTCTGTCGAAGTCAGCATTGTCTTTTCTGACTGGTAGTAGCTGTCCAGGGTTGCAGGCAGAGGTCATTAAAATCACTTACTGTCCAGTCCTTTGAAGTGGCGATCTCAAGGGCTGAACCTGGGGACCTGCAGGCAAAGCAGATCCTCTACTGCTGAGTCACAGTCTCTTCCTCTTTCTCACGCATCTCTGTTAATATTAAGAGACAGAAATTCTCACGATTTTAAAAAGTGCCTGACTTTTGCCCACCTTTGCTAAAGAGGTAGAGCTGTGTGTAAGAGAGAGATCTCTTCCTACCTCTCTACCCTGGAGGATAGATACAGACTCTAAAGGCACCTTTTGATGAGTTTTGCCCCAAGGATGGACATCTGTAGGCCCAGTGTGGGTCTGCTGCCATTCTAGTGATGTTTTTAATGATGGTTTACTGTGGTTAATGTTGTATCTGTTTTAAATCACCTTTTTAAAAGGTTGATTTGTTAGCTGACTTTGAGCTTTAAGGGGAGGTAGGACATAAAACATTTTGAATGAATGAATGAATGAATGAATGAATGAATGAATGAATGAATGAATGAATGAACGAACGAACTGTGGGGCCGTTGCATTTCTTCTCCGTAGTTTTCCTTCACTTCCATTTTACTTTATAGATTCGAGTCCAGTAGTGTCTTACAGACCAACAAGACTTTGGGGGGGTAGGTGCTTTGACTTTTGAAAGCTCATACCCCCCAAAACCCCCACCACCACCCCTTGTTGGTCCCTCAGTCACTCCTGGACTCCAGTCTAGCTGTCCTGCTGCAGGCCATCGTGGCTGCCCTCTGAAATGTTCTCCTTTATATCTCCCCACGGAATCCGTGGCAGTGCTGCGGTTCCCTCCTTTCTCCCACCCTCCACTGCGGAGTGCCACGAGGCTTTGTGTGTAGAGTTGCCAGCCTCCAGGTGGTGGCCGGAGATCTCCCGCTATTACAACGGACTTCCAGGTGACAGAGATCAGTTCACCTGGAAGAAATGGCAGCTGTGGAAACTGGACTGTGTGGCGTTATGCCCCAAACCCCGTCCTCCTCAGGCTCCGCCGCCAAAACCTGCAGGTATTCCCCAACCTGGAGCTGGCAGCCCTCTCTGTGTGAGTGCTTAAAGTGCCATTGAGTCGCAGGCAACTTATGGTGACCCCAGGAAGGGGTTTTCAAGGCAAGTGAGAAGCAGAGGTGGTTTGCCATTGCCTTCCTCTGCAGAACCTTCCTTGGTGGTCTCCCTTTTAGGTACCGACTCTGCCTAGCTTCCAAGATTGGGCTATACCATGTGGCCTTCCTTTCCCCACAAGGCTTTGGAGAACCCTAAAACGTTATAATTCAGCAGTGGCAGAAAGCTTGTTCTTCAGACCCTTTCCTTTCTCCATGCTGAGACCCAGAATTGTCCAAGGAACTGTTTGAACAGGGTGTGCATCAAGAGAAGTGCCTGATGGCTGGAAGCTCTCCTTGTGGCATTAGCACTCTAAGTTACCCATTGTAGTTCTTTAATGTGGTTAGCTAAGACAGCTAGTAATAGCACTGGAGTAGGAATGGGAACATTCAGGAGGGGAGATCCTCATACATTGTCCGGAGTTTCTTTACAGGAGGAGGCTAGGATAGAAGTGGGACCAATAGATGGTGGTTTTGTACTACATATTTAACCTTTAGTATTCAATCCTTTTAAAAGACATTTTCCCTAAAAATAAGCACTTGTCAGCAAATGCCTGCTTTTACAGGTTGGAATGGCAGTTAAAAGCAAGTAACATTGTTAAGCCTGACTTTTGATTTGGTTTACAAATTTACTTGATTTACCAGTGTGAAAGTAATTGTGTTCATTATTGTGTTGTTATCTAAAGTATGGTAGTCGCCTCAAGCAGGTCTCTATAAATGTACTGAAGAAATAAAATATAAATTCTGTTTGCTTTGTATTTCAGCATCAGCCAAAGAAACTATTAGGGAAATAAAGATCAACAATCAAAAAAAGAAGATGATACAAGATATTTTACTGTATAAAGAAAAAAAGCTCAACACTTGTGAACTTCTGAATCTTAACTAAATCATCACCAATGCCATTTTCAGAAGAAACTCCTTTTTTGGCATTATCAGCTACAGTGAAATGCATTGGCCGAAGGGTTTCTGAGAACAAATTGTATTGAATTGTTTTACTTTGAAGTTCACCAGCTGTCATTCAGCCACGTTGTCCAGCTTGTAGGCAAGATAGTATTATGCATATACATTGTTTGATTACTTCACTGTATAAATGACAAACATTGTATTTTAAGGTGATATGGATGTTCTATCACCTATTGTCTGGTTTGTGATGGCTCACACACGGGTAACTTGCCACCTAATGCAGCAGCCATCAAACAATGACTATGCAGGTGTGAATCAGCCTTCCATCTGACAAAATCTACATCAGGCATTACTGGCTCTCCATGCCTTAAGTTTGCTTACTGTCAGTCGCTTAAAAACAATGGCACTCTTTTATAAAGCAAAAGAACCCAAGGTGCCTGGTCAAATACCTAAACATTCCAGAAAACATAGCATATTAGGGCTTAAGTTTACATGAAGAATGACCAAAAGTGCTTGCTACTTTTGCAAAGTTATTTAAAAGTATATGCCTGACTTCTGTACAGTTTATTATGCTTTAAAGTACTGAATATGAAGGCTGTTAGAGTATTTTCGTTTTTATAGAGTTATGCCTTAGATGATGATTCCATCAAATAATTAATGTGCAATCCTATTTTGTTTTTATTTAATGTAAACCTGCAGCCTGATTTGAGTTAAAGGTTAACTTGACCTCAGGTGAAAGATTACATGGAAGCTGCTTGTTTGTAGTGTTCCCTTTTGCATTTGATCGAACTCGGCAGGTTTATGCCCAGATAGTCTGATCCAGCAAGGTTCACCAGTAACTGACAGGCTTGTGCATATGGATTATGCTTCCTATTGTAGCTGTGCTTATGCAGCAGGATACTATTGGATAAACCCTGCATACACTTCACACTAAACTGACAATTGGTACTTTCAGTTCTCATAGTACTAGTAATCATCTATTTGGGGAGGGGGGACTGGATCCACCTAAGCGGTGATCAGCAATGTGAAACAGCACTGATAGTAGTCAGAGGAATTTGAGGGAACTTCCATGTTCAGAAGCAGTGTAGCTCTGAGATGACACACTGATGATAAACAGCTATGAACTTCATCCTCTGTATGCAGACTTCTCTGAAGAATGTGACTGGCCACTGTTGGATTGGCTAAGTGGACCCTTGGTCTGATCCAGCAGAGTTTTTCTTATGGTCTAATTTCTGCAGTGGAGTTGAATCACTGTAGTTACACCATTGCAGGGGAATTTCTGGATTGAACTTGTAGTTAATGTTAATTAACATTAAAACAAAATATATAAGGAAAGCTGGAATGACTACTGTCTCTGACATATTTTAAGAGTGTTTTTTTTAATGAGTACCAGTGTTTTCTAGTTTTATAATACTGGGATAAATCCAGCTGTTCTGCTCAACAAACATTGAAGCCTTCCTCCACTCTAAGGACCCTTCCTTTAATTTAACAGTGCAATCCTAAGAACACTTTCCTGAGAGTAAGCCCATTGGATAGGCCGCCTGGGTAAGGTTATGAGTAGTCTTGATTGGGATTGCTATCACAGTGGCTGATTCTGTCATGGAAGAACCACTTAAGCTGTAGAAAGGCTTCAAACTCAGCAGAGCAGAGTAACTGGATCTGGGGGTGGGGTGGGGATCTCAGTGGAAAATCCCAGGATTTCTCATCACCACCTTCCTGAAATAATGTATTTGAAGCACTTAATGAAGATAGTTCCAGGTGGTCAGCCATGTTAGTCTGAAGCAGTAGAACGAATTTAAAGTCCAGTGGCACCTTTTAAGACCCAACAAAAGTTTATTCAAGGTATGAGCTTTCATGTGCGAGGCATTTTTTTCAATTTTGAAAAAGTGTGCCCAGCACACGAGAGCTCATACCTTGAATAAACTTTTGTTGGTCTTAAAAGGTGCCACTGGACTCTAAATTTGTTCTACTGAAGCACTTGATGCATTTTAAAGGTGATAAAATGTTATTAGGAATATGTCTGATGTTTCTTGATGGACGCAGTTGCTTTTCCTCTTTGAATAAATCATATTTTTAATAGTTCATATACTCATTCAAGCAGCTACACCGTGTTTGTTTCTGTTCCTTGGAGGATGAGTGCAATAGAAGACCTTCTGCCTGCTATTGTGCAGCAGGATTATTCCATATCAAGTTGTTCCACTAAAAGTTTGGACTGTTCTCTTAAAGTAAACCAACAAATGAGCAAGAGAATGTGGTGCTGACGTCTGCTTAGGAGGTGACTTTTTCATTACCTATAGGCATTGACCTAGAGGCAGAAGAAACAGAGAAAGTGGTACCTCATCTGATTTTTATCTCATCCTTTCACCAAGGTATTCAGAGTTAATTGGTGTCCCCCCATTTTATTCTTACAACCCTGTATAATGTGTTAGATAGAGATATGACAACTGTCCCAAGTTTACCTAGGTTTTTACCACAGTCATTGTCCAAGACTCTAACCCTGTGATACTAAATCTGTGGCTTAGAGAGAGCCATGTTTGCTATTACCATTAACCAGAAGAGAGCCATGGCTACTGCATGCCCTGCACACCATCCCAACAAATACATATATCATCAATATATTTATCTCTCCACACGGCCAAATCTGTATGTACTTAAATCCAGAGACTGGAGCCATGAACAGACAAGACAGATATTTCAGCAAGCCCTAGATTTTCAGAAAAATCTGAAATCTTAAAAATAATAATAATGGGGATAAAAAACCCCACAATTATATAACACCTGTAGGTTTAAGAAACAAATGCCTTCAGTGGCCATTGCTAGGAGTCTGTACTTTGATCTAAATTTTGGCTTAATTCCCCACTCCTCCACATGCAACTGCTGGTGTGACCTTGGGTCAGTCACAAGTTCTTTCACAGCTGTTCTCTCTAGGGTTGCCAAGTGAATTTTACTCACCGGTGGGGGGGCCTCGCCGTGCTCCGGGAGCCGTCCCTTGGCGTGCGCGTGTTTGCCGCCAGCACGTCACCGGAAGTTATGCGCGACGTCGATCATGTTGAGGTCATGGCCCTGATCGTCGGAGGGAAAACCATAGAGTTTTCCCTCCGACGATCAGGGCCATGACCTCAACATGATCGACGTCGCGCATAACTTCCGGTGACGTGCTGGCGGCAAACACGCGCACGCCAAGGGACGGCTCCCGGAGCACGGCGAGGCCCCCCCACCGGTGAGTAAAATTCACTTGGCAACCCTAGAGAGAACAGCTGTGAAAGAACTTGTGACTGACCCAAGGTCACACCAGCAGTTGGCCTCACCCAGTGCCGGATTTACGCATAAGCTAAATAAACTACAGCTTAGGGCCTCGCAATCTGCTGGGGCCTCAAATAAAAACACCAAAAAAATTATAAAAACTGATTTTAAAAATCTCATAGAAAAATCACTCAAATGAAGTCAGACATATCACAATGATAAATTCTAAATAATTTTAAATATACAAAAT